CTCTCGCTTTGAGGTGCTAAATCAGCCTCAGGAAAGCGTGATATCCTCGATATCTATATTATTTGTAACAGCAGAAAATTCAAGACTTTGAGAAACATGCAAATAGCAAAGGTAAACAGCGGGGGTTTTTCAAAGGAAAGATTACAAATGCTATTTTAACATCTACACAGTTCACTTCTCCAGGTATTTTGAGGAAATAAAAAGATAATAATGAAAAAATTCGAAATTCACTATTAATTCTTATTGCGAATTATAAAAGCTCAAAATCAAAAGAACTACCTCTGTTAATCCTTCAACAAGACCGCACGAATTCTGAAGTGTTCAATAGATATTTAATGAAGTTTAATTCATAATCTGTAACAGAAAAAAACTTTTTGATATCCTAATCATTCATTTTTGTAATTGCTTGTGAATTTTTGGAAATTTTTCGGTGTAGTTTTGTATTCGACTGTATAATTCTCAATGAAATATGGCTTTTTTCTGCTGTTGAAAATGATAGATATTGAGGATATTACGCTATCAGTGAACTTCTCAATTTGAGTGATCTACTTTTCCTTATTTAGCTCGCTTAACATCGCTCTGTATGAAACAATCATTTTGATAGTTTTCTTACCGTTATATCCATTGTTCTCGTCCATTTTTCGACGTAAAGGAGAGAAAAAAATCTCTAGAAATTTAAGAATTTAAAGTTTTTTAAGCTTCTGCTTTCTTTGAGTTTTTGAAGTGATTTGATTTTGTGATCATTTTCCTCTAGAAAAAACTTTCTCTGGTCATTTTTGTTTATTTGCTTAATTTCAAAAACATGAATTTTTTTGTCAGAATGATAAATTCGAGGATATCACGCTTTCCTGAGGCTGATTTCGCACCTTAAAGGCACCGTCCACCCAAATTGGGGTTGGTGAGTTTATGATACCTAGCAGCTGCGGGGCCCCCAACTGTATGATTGCCCAACTCGCGCTGCCTAAAGTTGCTTCCGAAGCGAGTAAATTGCTTCGGAAATCGCTTCAGGTGACGTTCGCGACGCTGGCTCCTCCCCCTTTCGGGTGGGCGTGACGTTCGTCCCGCCCATCCGTGCGCGCCCAACCAATCAACGTATCGAAGAAATCGCTCTGCGGGTTCTGAAAACGGGGGTTTTCGTGGTTTTCGCGTATTTTCGACCTGATATTCGGAATCAGGGGTATGGGAAGGCCTTGGAACGGCAAAAACATGGAGGTCGAAATTTTGGGTGGACGGTGCCTTTAAAGCGACAAAGCGACGAGGTGCGAGAAAACCTCTCGGCAAGAGTTTTAGACGACGAGCGTAATTACTGTACCATCTGCAGCTGCTCTGCCGGCAGCTCTGGCGGCTGGCTGCGGCAGCAGTCGGCTGCCCGGGTACCACTTGCACGCCTCCCGGATTCATGGCAGTTTCGCGGCAGGATCCACGCTTTGCGACATGAATCCATGCGAAATACGGTCGCGGGGTCCAGCTTCGAGGGGAATATCTCAGCCGTTGGGGCACTACCTGAGCTGCCGGTTGGGCAGTGGCTTAGTTAGGGCCCCAAAAGTACTTTCCACGTAAAATCCCCATAGGTCCAGACTAGCCTGGCCGCTGCCTTTAAATGAGTTATGGACGGTTAAAGTATTGCCAAATGGCGTCGCAAGTGATATCGCGTTTACCAAGGGCCTAAGGCCTAAGATGTCGCGGATTGGGCCCCCAGCTCCCAACGTCAGTGGTGTTACGGCTCTCCTGCATCGGCGAGGGGAGCCGGGGGTCCGCACCGTGAAATAATGGAACGTAACGTGTGAGGTGGCTACCTGTGCGATTGCTCTTTATGCCTGCCACATGGGAACTCCATACACACTTAGGGGCCCTTGCCACCAGCCTACTTAGTAGCTATACGTCACTTGGGACTCGACCTATGCTTCCAGCCATCGACAGCTGGAGCGCGTACTCATAACCGTGGCACTACCATGGATCGTGCCAGCCTTCCTACAGATGTTACCCGCTAGGCTTGATTACGAAATACACATAAAATGATAACACAATATTCCGGAGCCACAGTCGAGCTGTGGTCACCGCTCCAACACATATCACACCTGTACAATGCCCACCATTTATCCGCAACTTATCCCTACACTCAAACATACAGGATGAGCACAACCGACCAGATGTTAGCCTAGGGGTCGGCAATATCGGAAACCCCCCGAGGCGGTGTCGCCGGCGTGTGCCAGGCGCGAGCGCGCTCGGGGTTACCTCGTAGCGTGGGAGCCAGTCCTCCGTGGCGTTGATGGAAGCGACGCGTGAGATGGGGTAGCGCTGATCGATCGATGGCTTGAGACGATTGGAACCCGACCGCTCACTGTGACGGCAGCTGCGAAGACTGACTACGTGACTTATTTAAACGCTGCGCAGGTGAGAGAGGTGAGAGGCGGGACAGCGCGAGGACGGCGTTTTGGGACCCTTCGCGAGGCGGCGGCGGCGACCTTTGAAGGAAGTCGCGAATCCGCGACACTCCGGGCAACGAAAAAGAAAGGGTCCGAGGTAGCTCCCGATCTGCCACGTTACCTACGACCCTACGAGTTAAACGTACATACAAACCTACGAGTCAAGAGTCCCTAGGTGGAATGCGGGACCTACAGCCTGTCGTGGTAACAGCCGGTTGTTCTCGGAGGTAAGCATGAAGAGTCGTCGGGGGCTCTACTCTGGATACTGGCGGGCTTCTTCGGCAGTTGTGGAGACGATGGTTGCGTTGAACGGCAGTTGAGGTGACCATTGACGTGACCATTGACTCGACAGTTGCGGCATCGACAGCTTGAACGGACCATGGAACTCGGCTTGACGTGGACATTCGGCTTGACGTGACAGCGGCTCGACATTGGTGACGTTGAAGTGACGATGAGTTGGCAAAAGATGTTAAATTTGCCTACTGGCGCGGTTTTTCACGCCTGGGGATGAATTCAAAGCGAGGGGGAGATTTTACCTCGCAACACAAGACCCCTGGGGCGAGACACATGCGAAAAGGGGGCGTCCCAAAAACTCCAAAAATGACACGGTCTCCCACCGTGGCCCCCAAAAACTCGTGCATTGGGAAGTAGACACTTGGGATACACGTCAACTGCGGGCTAACCTAAAATAGGGTCAGCAACAAAAAACTGGGCGAGCTTAAGGCCCGCCAAAAAACCACAAAATCAAAAGAAAAAGAAAAGAAAATAAAAGGGTACGAATAAAATAGTTAAACTAAATTAAACATACCCAAAAATCGTCAGTTGGGGCTATCGTCACGTGGGAATCACGCAAATTGGGAAACTCTCCATCTTCCACCCAAAACTCGATAGTTGGGGCTATCGCAACAGTGGACTCGAAACTTGGGGGATCCTTATCCTCAATCTGAACAAATAACATTAATAAAGGAATGAAAGTTGGGGGTGAGCGCGAAGCTTCACCAAAAACTCGTAAGTTGGGGAAACGTAACCTGGGGCTAATGATCATGAGGCGAGGCATCTCTTCTCTGGGGCTGACGATCGTGGGGCGAGGCGTCTCTCCTCTGCTCTCTCCTGGCTCTCTGTCGCCTGCGCATGTCAGCCATTGCCTTGTACTGGTCAAGGGTGGTGAGGTATTCGTCATATGGGATATCACAGGTACAGTGGTGCTGTTTAAAGCAGAATGAGGTGTCGTGATCCTTAGAGCGGCACGACCGGCATCTCCTGCCATAGCGAGGGCAGTCTTTCTCGGCATGGATGCCACAGCACAAGAAACATCCGCCCCTCCTCGCATTCAGATCCATCCTCTCACTCAAAAGAGTGTAGTTGGGGCAACTAGAGGAGTAATGGCGCTGCCTGCAGAAGTAGCAGCGGATGTTCCCGGCCGATGCACCATGTCGCGGATTGGGCCCCCAGCTCCCAACGTCAGTGGTGTTACGGCTCTCCTGCATCGGCGAGGGGAGCCGGGGGTCCGCACCGTGAAATAATGGAACGTAACGTGTGAGGTGGCTACCTGTGCGATTGCTCTTTATGCCTGCCACATGGGAACTCCATACACACTTAGGGGCCCTTGCCACCAGCCTACTTAGTAGCTATACGTCACTTGGGACTCGACCTATGCTTCCAGCCATCGACAGCTGGAGCGCGTACTCATAACCGTGGCACTACCATGGATCGTGCCAGCCTTCCTACAGATGTTACCCGCTAGGCTTGATTACGAAATACACATAAAATGATAACACAATATTCCGGAGCCACAGTCGAGCTGTGGTCACCGCTCCAACACATATCAAACCTGTACAATGCCCACCATTTATCCGCAACTTATCCCTACACTCAAACATACAGGATGAGCACAACCGACCAGATGTTAGCCTAGGGGTCGGCAATATCGGAAACCCCCCGAGGCGGTGTCGCCGGCGTGTGCCAGGCGCGAGCGCGCTCGGGGTTACCTCGTAGCGTGGGAGCCAGTCCTCCGTGGCGTTGATGGAAGCGACGCGTGAGATGGGGTAGCGCTGATCGATCGATGGCTTGAGACGATTGGAACCCGACCGCTCACTGTGACGGCAGCTGCGAAGACTGACTACGTGACTTATTTAAACGCTGCGCAGGTGAGAGAGGTGAGAGGCGGGACAGCGCGAGGACGGCGTTTTGGGACCCTTCGCGAGGCGGCGGCGGCGACCTTTGAAGGAAGTCGCGAATCCGCGACATAAGGCATACCTCGCGCGATTACGGTCGCTGCGCGATTTGGCACAACATCTTTGGTCAGAACTTGTTCCATTTGCAACAACTTACACAAGCTGCCCAAATATGCATCCGAGAAGCGCGCACGATAAATTTGCAGAAATCTGGCAAGTCGTCAAGTCGCGTGAAAGTGGCGATTCGGCCGAATCGCGTGAGGTATGCCTTAGGCCTAAGGCTCAAAATGTTCATATGACAGTTGCAATTAGGTGGTTTCATAGTCGGTCAACCAACTTCAAGACTTCATTGAAGAAGTGATATGGTCAATAGCTAGACATTAAATCGAAGAGAATAAATCACAGTTTGGTCAATATTGTTATATCAAGTTTCAAGCTAAAAAAATTTTTGGAGAACTTCAGCCTAGCACGAGGCCAGAGGGATATTTACATATCACGAAAAGGAAGATTATAACAGCGCATTGGAACAGTGATAGAAACAATTGGTACGTATAATAGTTACATGATTACAAGGCACAAAGAAAATATTGTTTGGTAATTACAAGCAGACATCCATAAACTTGCATGGGTGAAGAAGTGACTACAACTGATTGATAAGTTTGCGCAAGCTGGATGAAGCAATAACCACGACCGTACTACTACTGCTGCACCGAAACGATACAAGGCACCCTACAAAGACAGGAGGCACAGTGTAACTCTAGTGAACTGACTAATGTGAAGTGCAAGTATGCGATGAAATCAATGAGGAAAGATCATGTTGGGGTTTGCTAAGTCAACCATTTTTAATGCTTTGTTACTAGGAAATACTCTTGCGATCTTCAACCCGAGCTGTAAATGAACTCGGCTATATCTGGAGCAATTAGATCTGCTCTGGCAAGCACAGCATGGAAGAAAGCGTCCGATTGCAAGTCTAAAGCTTTTCTGCATTCGCTCAGTGAAAATCGTGAGCTTTTAGTTGCTGACGACTTCTCCGTCGGTAAAGGCTCACTAAAACAGTATCTCAACAAAAATTTAACAGTGACTGGAAAAGCTAGACCTTGAATGCTGTACATAGATGATCAATGCACGCGCCAAGTTTTCGATATATAGAAGTAACTGATTTATGAAGCCCATCCTCGCCGACTCCTGAATACTCTATGATATGATTCATTAGTGGAACAATGCAAGCGCTAACGAACCTCCACAGGAAGAAGATCGAGACGTTTCAAGAAAATCTTTACACAATCCAAGATACGACAGGAGCTCATTTCGCTGAAAAATTTGCAAATGACCGCAATAAATGTGAAGAAACAAACTACAAAACTTACAGAGTAACGGGTCTACTCTTCACAGATCCTTCCAAAATAGCGGAAACTCGCTGCGTGTCAGCCCTCCGTTTCAGTATGCGATGTCGGCTGTACGGAGCTGACATGCATACAGTCGAGCGATCCACATCAACGACGCATATTGGCCAGCTGGCTAGTGCACCACATTGCAAAAGATAAGGCAGCTCATACTGAAATTTAAAGATATGTATGGTCAAAGACTGAAACATAAAGCTATCGAATGAAGCCTGATTGAACGGAAAAACAATCCCTACTTTTCAAGTATGCAATTTATCGCTGACTTAAAGTATTTTGCTAGCTGTCTCCATGTTTCATATCCGAAGCGTCTCATCCATCCCAATAACATAATATTTTCAGTTTTTGGTAGTAAAATCCTTCTGACAGAAGATGACAAAGAACATGAGAGTTTGATGCTTTTTTACACATGTACACTATCCGATTTCGGGATTGGAAACTACACCGGTAGTGCAATTTCCTTGGTGCCCTCGTTTCCTCGCAGGTCGGCCTTGATCTTGACCTACCTCATCTTGGGCCAACTTTCTTTTGAAAGGTGCCTCCACAGCCAGGTTAAAATTGTGTGAGGTCTCCTTCTCTAGCTCTTCAACATCGACGCTTATGGAACCTGGAGTTTGTTTGCCTATTCCCATATGTTCTGCCTTTCTTATGTTGGATTTTAAACCATACAACTCTAGCCTGTTGTTGTCACAGTTTTGCACCTCGTTTTGCAAGACCTTTCTCGTACTTGCTACCAAGAACACATCATCTGCGTAGAGAAGTGTTTAGAAAAATTCAAGACTAAGTGGTTCCATCACGGCGTTCAATTTGGTGAAGAAGAGCAAAGGAGAGAGGAATGAATTTTAGTGTGCTCGAACCCTGATTTAGAATTTCGATTGCTCTGCAGCTATCCGCAATTGACTTGAAGCGCTGTTGTAGAACCTTATCCAGAACGTAGTCCTCTAGCACCATGTGTTTCCGTAAGGCCCACCATATGACTTCCAAAGGCAGGCTATCGAAGGCTTCCTACAAGTCCAGGAAGGCTGTATGCAACTCCATCGACCTCTCTATATATTTCTCCATCAGAGAAATGGTACGTAGGAACTACTTTTAAGCCCGTATAGTTGAGGTAAGTATTACGGACGTATAAGTAGCTGTCAAAGCACTTAAAAACTTGCTTAATATAGCAAGAGCAAAGCAACTTACCCTGCGTACAACCTGCAAGCGCAGGTACGGATTGAATTTGTGACGATACATTCGAGGACAAGACCATCGCAGCTGCTCAGGAACAAAAGCTGCCAGGGTATGTAACAACTAAACAATATAGAAAGGATTTGATTAGATAGGTCGTCGAGAGAAAGATGTAAGAATTACCCTTGTAACATAAAGGTTGTCGGATCCTATGATGACGCATTGTCCTTGGCTCTGCAGGACACCCGATATGGCTTTACAGAGCACTCTGTCATTGTGACACCGCTTACCGGTAAGCAAGGTATTCTTGATCTAAAAGTAGCTTTTGAAGTTGATCGCACATGGTGTAAGAGTTAAAAAAACATGGTACAGGGTCAACCAGGATTTTCTTAGTAGCAGCGTCCAGGCAAATCTGGACCTATAGGAATACGTGAAAAATAATTTTGGAGCCTAACTAAGGCACTGTCCAAGCGGTAGCGCAGGTGACTCACTAACGGCTGAGATATACGCCTCCAAACTGGACCCCAGGATCGTATTTCGCATGGATTCATGGCGGAACCCCTCAGTCACGCGCGAGGACCCACCGAAACTGATGGGTTGCGCCATGAATCCATGCGAGGTAGATTTTGGGGTCCAGTTCTGAGGGGAATATCAGCCGTTAGAGCACTACCGGAGCTGCCGGTTGGGCAGCGGCTTAGTTAGGGTCCCAAAATTACTATTTATGTGAGATCTCCATATGTGCGGATTTGCTTGGACGCTGCCTTTAAAAGCACCTTCCACGCAAAATGGAGGTTGGCGAGATTATGATAGCATACGCAAGTGGGCGGGGCGACCATGGCCCGCCCACTTGCATGCTTTATCTCGCATGCGCTTGTTGCGGAGGGTTCTCGAAACAGGGATTTTTGGGGGTTTCGCGGATTTTCGACTCCACATTCAGAATCAGGGCTCTCAGAAGGCCTGAAGGCGACAAAAGTGGACGTGCCTTCAAGCAACTCATATTTGCAACCTCTCAGATGAAACATGACTGCTTCTTTCATCGATAAATTAAGGAGTGCGTTTAAGCCCAATGACATAAAAATCACTCAAAATTTACTTTTGCAAGAATTTCATCAGAATTGTAGCATAAAGTCCCCCGCTCGCCGAAATGCAGTTCGGAATAATGGAGAAGTGGCGCAATTAACAAGCAAAAACTTAACGCACCAGGAGCGGACGAGAATCCGACACTAATGGGTATCGATCCAATGTAGTGACTAGATGCATCAACCGTGTGAATTCAATGTTGGCTCGGATTACAACGTCTTCCCAAGCCTCCTGCAAAAGCACTCAATAGAAAGCCGTTAAAAATAGCAAGACAGGGCGAACTTCTTCACAACTCACAGCTACCATTGATGCTTTCAACCTTGGAATCAGGTCGAGTAACACAGACTCGAAAAAATGCTCACGTTCCAAATACCACTCCTGCCTAGAACAAGCAATTAGTGTAAGATCAACAGGAAAGCGAAAAGTACCCACTTGCGGATATTCATCAAAAATGATATTGCGTGAATAGTTCTGGTCCCGGACGAGCCAGGAAGTGAGAAAATGAATGAACCCACAAGAAGGTTGCGGGAAGGAACAATTTTCAGTTTATGTATCAAAGGATTCGATGGCAATTGAACACTGAAAGAGAATATGCAGATGGAAACGATGATGATATTGGTAGAAAAGTCACCTGAATATCTGCTCTGCGAGAATAAACTTCGAGACAAAGAATTCATCAGTGATAGAATCACTTGTAGTATCCATTGGAAGATCAAGGAATGATACAATATCGTCATCAAATGAGGATCCTTGCGACAACTTACGCCTAATGATCACTTATAGGAGCATAAAGGACCAAAAAATGAAAGCGGCAACAGGTCCACCAACTTGCTCTTTTCTGCTGAGGACGTTCTCGTTTGCGGCTTGGGAGTAGATTCAGCCATAGGTGAAAAGCATAGAGCGCTCAACTCACTATGCGTTGAGATTGTACCTCCTATGCCCGAATCAACGCACGAAGTGATCAGTGCTAAATATAATTATGATTAATTAACTTACATCAAACATATTCAAGAACGGCACTCACCGCTGCCAGCTTTATCGGTATCAGTGCCATCTCCTCCTTCTGATGGTTTCTCGGTAGCCCCATCATCATCGGAAAGTTTGGTAAACGACGATGTGCTCGTCTTACCCCCAGTTGTGCTACCGGAAGTGTTTCGCGCGATCACATTTCTATAGAAAAGGTAATTAGCAGCAGACCCAACAGTCGTTCCAATTTTGTAAAAAGAAACAATAACGTTAGGAGTAAAAAAGACGCAATAAAGTACCAACAAACCCCGTTGTACTTTCATTCTGCTCTTCGAGAGTTTCTGGAGGGTCCGACGAAAGCAGCGTCGAGATATTTAAGTGTTCCATGGGTGTGCCGGCCATCGGATCATGAGCAACTGGTTCATCCCCCTGAACCAAAAACTTCATGGATGCCAAAGATAATTGTACAGGCATATTTGGAAAGACAACCTCCTCGTGCGCTTCTAGCAGCTGCTCAGAACTATCCGGCTTGGTCAATGTTGTTGTAGCAGATGAAGTGGATTGTGTATTGGAGGACTGATCCTGGAATAAAAAAACGATTATAATCGACGACCAAATACTAATTGCTGCCTTTCTGAGAAACAAAGAAGCTATAGTCATAAATTTCAGTTAATCAGGTCGTCAGTTATAAGGCGGAACAAAAAAAAAAAAAAGAAAAGAAAAGGAATTGAAATGAAAGAGAGCTTAAGTAAAACACGTGGTTGGAGTTGATCAGCTTTCTTCTCATATATTCTATCGCTCCTTGAAGCAAAGATAGCTTAGACGCTGCTCTAATTACTTCCCGTTTAGAGGTAAGTACTTGTCGCGTATGAAAGGGCGCCTTGCAAAACCATCACAATTTGCTCCACCACGTTGACGATGTGTATTCATATGGATGCGCGCTCGCTTTTGCATTTATGTACATCCACGTAGACAGAGTCTCTTTTATTGGGAGGGGGAGGAGGCGAGGGGGGAGAGGGGGGGGGGGGAGGGACATAAGAAATTTTCGGAGAACACAAAAACGTTGGTAATATTGATGCCGAAATGTCAAATGAAACAAAGGGCACCGCATTAAATAATCAATAATAATAATAAAGATGATACACAACTTTTTAATAGTTTCTGGCCTAAGAAAAATAGTTCTATTCGAAAATAGAGCCAAGAGATTGAGCAACTTCATGTTTAAGCGCCAGATAAAGCTTGAATTATGCTTTCGTGCATCCAAAAGTACCCATGCGAAAATGCGAGATAAATGATTGGGAGTTCCACACCCAGAAAAACATGGACTGTGAACATGCTAGAATTAGGAGAGAGTTAGGATGGAGCACTGTTTCACTAGAAAAAAAAACACGGTCCACATGAAAAATTATGGAGTTTATCAGTAATGAAATAAAATATGAAATAATTGATAATCATATGTGTGACAAAAAATATACCTGCGTTCTCGAGTCCGTCAAGGTCAAGTTGGAATCGGTGCCGCTATAACTACTGTCTACCATATATTCGTCCAGATAACGTAACTCTTGGAATGTATATCCACTGCGGCTCGATAGGCGGTATTCGTGATACATCGAATCGTCCATGAACATGCTATCATACATCTCTGTTGTGCTCAGCAGAGCGGTCTAGATTGAAGACTACGATTAAGGGGAAAGATGCAGTAGGTTAGAATTGCAGAAAGAATACTTACCTGCAGAGGATCGTCAATATCCTCGAACTGAACAGAATGTGTCATGGATGACTCGAGACTTTCAGCATCGTTAACTGATCCTTCTTCTCCACTCAGATTTACTGGAGAGAGTGAGGATGATGGCGAGATCTGTATCAAAGAGCTGATACTCGAAGGAACACCGAAAGAAGATTAACATACCTCCCAGACAAATTTCAACTCTGGTCCGCACATGAAATCAAAGGATGACCACACTATTTTACTGATGCTCGAGACATTGCGCAGACGGAGCTCAAGCCTTCTCACCGGTGAGTTACCCTGAAAAAGTCATCAGTTATGTATATAACTCTTACAGAACGTACTTAGAGCGCAATTCCGGGTATAGTGGGGTGCACCGCGTAGAAGATTCATGATGGAAATTGTGTGAGAGTTCCAAAATTTTAGACCGGTAAGCAAAACCCAGCCAGAATTAATGCAGTGCAAATGAGTTCTGCAGGTAATAAGCAGATCCTACTTCGATACACAATGAGTTGACGTATAAGTCTTTCCATAACATTCAAAAAGTCAAAGTTCAACGAAAAAAAATCGAAAGCTTTCCCGAAAACTAACTGCCTGCTCCCATTTCGTGAAAATTATAGGCAGCTGGCTGGAAGCTCGGTCGGCTGTCTTTGATTTTTCGCGCAAAAAATGAATCATAACACGCAATTAGTTGTTCTCTTCGACAGCCGCGTTGTGACCTAGTAGCTAAGCTTCGAACGAATTAATAGATCTTTACCAATCTCAAGCTTCTAAATGTTTTCTGCTTGAACGAAAATAGATCTAACCAAAAAGTTTAGAGCCATCTTTTTGACGCATCACAATAGCGGAACCACTAACTAAGCAATTGTCCAAGTCCAACTGTAAAAGATGTATTCGAGGCTAGAAAACCGCTCAGAAATGTGGATGCTGTTAGGGTCGCCACGCCCATTAACGTGGGTGGTCCAGTAGTGAGCCCGACCTACTTTTTGGACCGTTTTTCTCGCGTCGTGATACACTCTGGAAGCGGGACTTGGGCCACTGCCTAGTCGTTGTCCTGCATCAAAGTTTCACCAACCACAAATCTGGATGCACGATGCCTCTGAGTCAGAAGTTTAGTTGGAAAATCATGAGCATGTGCAAGTGGACCCTTCGCGCACTCCCACTTCACGGCGTTTTTTGCCAAAGTTTGCGTTCCTGCTCAATTCATTGCTGAACTTCAAGTACATTTTGCTTTCTATAAAAAGGTAAAACAAACGCACCGATCACAACCATAAAACGGCAATAAAAGAGAAAAAACAGATGAAAAACAGCGTGAAATGTTGACTTACCACATGCAATGCATCATAAGCAGAAAAGTAGTCTTCTGCTTCCATTACCAAAGGCAAGTAGCACTTCTAGGGAGACTCTGGCATGGTGAAAGTACTCAAGAATACCCCAACGACGAAGCAGACATCAAGTCTTACTCAGCTGATTATTCCGGTTTTGTGTCTGCAATATTGCGTTAGCTACGACCGTCACACCATTGAGACGTGGGATTTTTCGAATTCGCTCATTTTTATTATTGTTTTTCGTTGTTTTCGTTTTGTAGAGGTGCACCACCATGGTGAAGTCGCATTGCTTCCACTCAGCATCTTTTTTTCCGTTTTAGTGAATTTAGTTCAGTTGGAGCTCGTGAGATGCATACAAAAGCTGACTTTAATAGCGCTTCTCGCTGCCAATGAAATGAAGGTCTTTATTTCCACTGCAACGTGTTAATGATTAACTACGCCTTTGAATGGTTTCGTACAATCAAGTTTTTATCACTTTAGAAATCGAGTCCTGGAGAATACTGAGTTTGCGATGTTTTTTCCCGAAGCTGCAGATTTTGTAGTCTTTTTTTTTCCTGTTTGCACTTTAGCTTCGCGCTAGCCCATTTTTTTTCCTGCAAATTCTTGCAAGATTACATCTAACCCAAATGCCACGATTTAAAGTGCAATTCGTATCCACAGCGAAAAGTTTGCTTGCTTTGCTCGGGCAAAGACTAGTGACTACCTCTGTTAAGCATCGTTGTGATACTCCCTCTTTCGTAAATATTTGCTGAAAACTATCTCAAATAATTTGATCTAAAATCCTCTTTGCAGATGTCTGTTGAACAATGGGTTAACGACGAGTTGCACAGCATCGTTGGCATTAGCGACCGAACTATATCACAGTATGTTCTGGCGCTTGCGAAGAAAAGTAGCAGCACAGATGACTTTATTGGGAAGTTGCGCGATAATGATGCGCTCGAAATCAACGATGGAGTGCGGAGATTTGCTTCACAGTTGATGAACAAGTTGCCCAAAGCAGGTCAGCTCTTTTGCGCGACTCCAGAACTCCAGATTGCTTCGAATTTATCGACTTACTTGTGATATTTTCAGCTCCAAAAGTCACTCAGCGTAAAGGACCTTCGGCAGCTGTGCTGCGAGAAATGGAACTGCAGAGACTCAGCAATTCAATGAAAGTCTTGACAGATGAGCCTACTCCTTCACGTTCAAAGAAATCTTCGCATCATGTGCGCAAACGTCGAGAAAGCAGTAGCGATGATGAAGTAGGTTTTCCGAATACTGCCATATTCGCCAGTACTTAATTTTTTGCATTTTTTTCTCTTTTAATTTTTCCGGTAGTTGCGCGAAATCATCATAACTTATAGAAGTGATACATTCAATTCCAATTATTCTTGACGGAAATTGCCATTGACTAACAAAGAAAAAATCTGGTTTGAATCTTTTGATTTTTATCTGTACTTTTTGATTCGGGCTTGGCGGCCGGAAGACGGAGCTTCGTGACCTAATTGAAGCTAGGAAATGATCAGAGGGCACGCTCGCGGGAGAGACGCAGACTGCGTTGCGGGCGCGAGCGGCCTTAATTAGGTCACAAAGCCCCGCCTTCCAGCCGCCAAGCCAGTTGAATCAAAGGTTATATGGATTATTAATGGTCATATGTAGCGTCTTTCACATCTCATGTCCACTATTCAATTCTTTGCCACTTTCCAGAGTACAATCTCAAAACCAGCAGAAACGAAGTCTGGGAAACCTCAGAAGCATGAATCTAGCGATTCGGATTTCGAAGCTGTTGAGGGAGAACTTGATCGTGATATCAAAGAAAGAGACGAGCTTGCCGCAAGAATAAGGAAGCGTGAAAAGGAGAAAACTAGAAATGTGCTCGAACAGAAAAGGAAAATACCAGACAATAAGGTTTTGTTTATTCACATTTTTCAGTAAATTTGCATTCTTTGAATTCTTCAGGACTTGGAAGATCTAACCATTGATAAGTTGAGAGAAGAGTCTAGAAGGCAATATTTAGCTAAAAGAAAGGATGATAAGCTTGATGAACTTCGCCATGTGGTCGCGGATGATGAGACTCTATTCGCGCATGAAGAGTAAGCATTTGTCTCTACACCTTGTAACGCTGTCAAATCTTTCTCTCTTCAGTCTCACAGAAAAAGAGCGAAAAGATATGGAGTATCGCAAAAAAGTGCTTGAATATGCTGAACAACACGAGAAGGCAGCGGATATCATGAAGACTAAGCGTTACTACGTTCCTGATGCAAAAGTTAGAGCAGTCCCGACGGAGTATATCGAAGAACCAGAAGAGTATCGTCATGGAGGTATGGTTTGATGATGGTTCATGATAATTCTAAATGGAATTCGTATTTCATTTTCCCTATATTTACTGACAATTGGGGATAGATGTCAAATTAGGATAAACTGTAGCTTATAAGGTGGACTAATCCAAATTAGCAACTGCAACAGCTGTCACTGAGCTTCGCCTTTGGGACTAAGCACTTGCCATATCATACCTGCCACCAATTTGAATGGGAGTGATGTCAGTGATCATAGTTTAAACTCTCTCATAACAAAACGTAGAGTAGATAAGACTATCCAACCCTCTGGTTGTTTACGTTTACTGCTTACTACTTTTGTTCAGGAGATGGTGCTAAATGGGAACAGGAGCAGCTTTTGGCAAGTATGCTCACTTATGGAGCGAAAGATGCTAAGCTTGTAAGTATCTCATATACTTTCTTCAATGAACTTTGTATTCCTTGTCCGATGTTTTTTTTTCAGAAACAAGAGGAATTCGACTTATTGCTTGATGACAAAATCGATTTCATTCAAGCTTTACAAATGCCTGGAACGCTGGAAAAGCAACAGGTATGAAACGGTTATTGCCTTCTGCGTACTGAGCATCCCCTGACATTTGGTGTTTTCAGGCTGAAGAACTCAGCGCTGCTCAGAAGAGGAAAATGACAATAGAGGAAACAAGGCGATCATTGCCTGTCTATGCTTTCCGTGAACAGTTCATTGAAGCTGTAAAAGAACATCAGGCAAGTTTGTCGGGTAGTCTGATTTCGTAAGAATTTTTGAAATTGCAGTGTTCAGGTGCTGATCATAGAGGGTGAGACAGGCTCTGGGAAGACTACTCAGCTACCCCAGTATCTCTATGAAGCTGTAAGTTGCATGGTATTCAAAATTCTTGGGAGACAGTGTTTTAAACTTTTTTAGGGTTTTTGTAAAGACGGTAAGAAGATTGGATGCACCCAACCTCGTCGAGTAGCTGCTATGTCAGTTGCGGCCAGAGTAGCTGAGGAGATTGGATGCAAGTTGGGTATGCAAGTGGGTCTATTTTGTGATTCTGTGAATTTCTTTCATGTACTAATGTTACTGAAAGTGCTCAGGTTGGCTACAGTATCCGTTTCGAAGACTGTACGTCGGAGAAAACCGTTTTGAAATACATGACTGATGGTATGCTTCTGCGAGAATTTTTGAATGAGCCCGATCTAGCTAGCTATAGGTCTGTTTCATTTGTCAGATCCAATTTCTGGCCTGCAGGTGCTTTTTTGATTGAAATTTTCTTACTTAAAGACAGCTTCGATAGTTAGACTGTGTAATTTTTGTGAGGGAATGTGAGAAGCTTTAGAGGCTTTTTGAGCTACCAACAATTTATTCAGCTTGATGGAGGGTTCTATCTCTATTGCATTTTAGTGTAATGATGATCGACGAAGCTCACGAGAGAACTTTACATACTGATATACTCTTCGGTCTGGTGAAGGATATCGCTAGGTTTAGGAAGGTAAGACTCATTACAACATTTGCTACTTCTTTTTCTCTCAATGCATTGCTTTCCTTGATTTGTTGAGGATTTGAAACTTCTTATCTCTTCGGCTACTCTGGACGCTGAGAAGTTCTCCACCTTTTTCGACGATGCGCCTATATTTAGGATTCCAGGAAGGCGGTTAGTGTGAATTGAATGTAGTCTTCCACTTTCTTGTTGTAAATTTTCTGTTTTTATTTTTACACGTTCAGATTTCCTGTGGATATATACTATACGCAAGCTCCGGAAGCAGATTACCTAGATGCAGTTCTAGTCACTATTATGCAGATCCATTTAACGCAACCTCTTCCTGGCGACATCTTAGTATTTCTTACAGGTAAACCACTCATAGTCTCAGAAATTTTTTGACACTTCATAGGGGATTTTTGTAACTGTCCATAGTTTTTTGAATTATACACAAAGGCTATTCTCTCACATAATCACCTGCTGGGCAAAATAATTGGAGCTGTCCTCAAAGCAATATTCATTGTTTTATAGGTCAGGAAGAAATCGAGTCTGTGCAAGAGGCCCTCATGGAGAAAACGAAAGCTCTTGGAAGCAAAATCAAAGAGCTTATACCATTACCGATCTACGCCAATCTTCCATCCGATCTCCAAGCGAAGATTTTCGAACCGACACCGCCAAATGCGAGGAAGGTGAGTGCGTATTGCCTTTTGAGGTTACCACTTTCGAACCAAAAAATTCATCTTCTTTCTTGGAATTGATGTTTTATGTTCAGGTCATTCTCGCTACGAATATCGCGGAAACGTCAGTCACTATCGACGGCATCTGCTATGTTATAGATCCTGGATTCTCCAAGCAGAATTCTTTCGACGCAAGGAGTGGTGTCGAGCATTTACATGTCGTCACGATATCGAAGGTTGGTGATTTTCAGGTTCTGTTTATCCAGTAAGGATACTAGTTGCGAAGATGCTAGTCATAACGGGTTTGTAATTTTGGGCAGCAGCGCAACAACGAGCTGGAAGAGCGGGAAGGACTGGACCAGGAAAATGTTTCCGATTATATACAGCTTGGGCTTACAAGCATGAACTCGAGGACCAGCCTATTCCTGAGGTATCACTTGAATTCTCATGAGTTTTCAATGTTATCTTGTGCTTTGCTTTTCTAGATCCAAAGGACAAATCTAGGCAATGTTGTGCTGATGCTGAAGTCGTTAGGAATTCACGATCTTGTGCATTTTGACTTCCTCGATCCACCGCCTCAGGTATGTCGATTCGTGAATCGGAATTTTTTCTTACTGGAAAACTGAACTTTCTGAAGTATAGCCTTTTAGGAAACTTTGGTAATAGCTTTGGAACAACTGTATGCGCTTGGAGCGTTGAATCATCGTGGAGAATTGACAAAACTCGGACGGCGAATGGCTGAGTTCCCTTGTGATCCTTGCATGAGTAAAATGATCATAGCCAGTGAGAAGTGAGTGACCAAGGTTACTTTCTGTAACAGGACCGTTTTTCATATGCACTATCACAGGTATGGATGTTCAGAGGAGATTATCACCATCTGTGCCATGTTGTCGTGTAATGCCGCAGTATTTTACAGGTTGCCCTATTCCGGCTAATTTTTTTTGTTTTTGTAATGAGCATAGTATTCAGGCCGAAAGCTATGATCATCCATGCGGATTCTGCGCGTAAAGCTTTTTGGAGTCCTGCTGGAGATCACATCACGCTCTTGAATGTTTACAACAAGTGGAAAGATACAAATTATTCACAGCAATGGTGAGAAATTTGGCTTGGAGATTGTCATCTGAGATTTTATAAGCTAAATCAAATTATCTAAATTAGCTCAGAAAGGTCATGAAGGTGCTAGTTTTAGGTGTATGGAAAACTTTGTGCAACACCGTACGATGAAGAAAGCGAGAGATATTCGTGACCAGTTGGAAGGCCTCTTGGAAAGAGTAGAAATTGAGCCCGTACGTGACTGTTCTCTTTCTAATTCTCTACGATTTATCAGCGTTAGAATGATCATCTTGAAAACTTTTTTTTCAGAAATCAAATCCATGCACCGTCGCTATACGAAAGGCCATCACTGCTGGATATTTTTACAACTGCTCAAAACTGGACAACTCAGGTGAGTTTTGATGGTTTCATTTTTGCTATGCGCAAATAGATGTTTTTAATTCATTACGTTTGTATGTTACTTTTTTATTTTTGAAGATTGGATCGGTCCTTCTTGTTTAGGCCATTACAAGACTGTCAAGCACAAGCACACTGTACAAGTACACCCGAACTCCTGTCTTTTTGAAGAATTGCCTCGTTGGGTGGTATATTACGAACTTGTCTTCACTAGCAAAGAATTTATGAGAGAGGTACCGTACCGCTGCCAGTCATTCGCTTTTATAATCTGTAAATCTCAGATTAGTCAAATAGAAAGCTCATGGCTGTTGGAAGTCGCGCCTCATTATTATAAAGGTCGTGAGTTGGAGGATCCCACAAACAAGAAGATGCCAAAACAACGAGGTAAATCGGCGGTGGAGTTACATGGTTAGCAGAGATTTTGTCAGAGTTCTTCTTCGAGAATCGGGTGATATATGACATTCTTGTTTACCTCTATTCTTCATGTTGTTATACATATTGTACAGCGCTTCTTCTTTAAGATCTGTTCCAGTTTGTTTTGAGATTCTTGTTGTTATCCGTTTCCACATGAGCAAAACGTTAAAAATCTTCACAAAAATGCAAGTGTTCTCTCAAAGCACATATTGTTGTCAAATAAGCCCTGAGATCAATAAAACTTATACAAAAATATATCCCGCAGTCATATGAAACTACAAAAATAAAATAGCGTCTTGAGGTTCGTTCGGACATCTATTTCCGATAAGTGACTTGGTAAACTTTCGTTAACATCTAGTCGTCATAATTTGAGATCATTTGATAGTTCTACATTTTCATTGTCTTGCTTGGCGATGGTGGAAACGCTTGACTCGGTAATAACACGTCTTTTCTTGCCTTCTTTGCTATTCCAGACGCCATAAAGAAAGTATATGATGAAGCCTGAAATAAGGTTATGTTTTGCACATGCAATCTCTGATGCTTGGTAAAAAATTTTTACTGCAAAAGTAATAAACGAAAAGGATACGAGTAATAAACGACTCTGACGCCTCTGTTGTATTCATGTGGTATGCAATTATATAATGACGTTTTGAGATACTAAAAGCATCAGTCGTTCTGGTTCACCCCTTATCAAACTATAAGATATTCCATTTAATAGCTACTGGCGCCGCGCTCGCATTCCTTGTTTTTTATTCGCACAAAAAAATAAGAGAATCTTTCTGCTTTCGCGCTGCAGAATGGGTTCATCAATTTTTTGTGTGGCTAGGGTAGTCATCTAATGAGAGGACCTTTGCTACCCATGAACCTTCACTGCCTTTGATTGACTTACATGTCACATTTGCAAGAAACATCGCTGATGTGATTTACGAGGGTTCAATCTCTGTCAGCTTCGAATCATGCGCTGTCAATCATCAGCCATAATTGTCAATCATCAATCGAAGTTGTTTTCAAAAAAGTATAAGGAATTCACCTACAGCCATCCAAATGAAGAAGCGAGCCCAAGTGAGATAGGCAAGATAAGCCATCATAAAGCAGTTGATAAGCAGCCCAAGAGCTGGAATTAATGGAACCAGCGGAACCTTAAGAAATCATCTTTATTTTTAATAGATGAGATTTTACTTTGCTGAACTTACCCTGAACGATAGGTCTTGTGAATTTTGTTTATGACCGGCAATGAATGTGAGCGAGCTAATAATAAGAATTAGACTCAGCGCAATGGAAACATATCCCGGTACGGTGAATAATAACCCTGTTAAAGAAATAACCTGTCTATGGCTCATCCGTATAGGCGAGTGGTCGCACGCAGAGACAGGGCTCTGTGGCAGACACTGTCGGGGTTTCTCTGGCTAAGCACACTTTCATTCCTCTTACCGTCTGGTGTCTCATCCAGGGACGAACTATCTTTGCGGAGCGCGAAGGCGCCAATTTCTTACATTCGACATCGCCTTGATTTCTGAGTTGGATGCCATTGCGGACTTTTGCGCATTTTTTGAAGAGACGCAGAGGTCCGCAATGACGACGTCTTTGCGTCAGAACTTACGTGACTTCTGCACGAATGTCCCAATAAATCAGTAGGTAATTCGGTAAATGAGGTAATTAGTTTTTACCTAATCGCAGCGTGAATGCGAGCCAAAAATATCCAAAAACTAGCGCAATCACGGCCAACGGTATAGATTTTCTAACTGAAATCCTTTCCCAGTATTTGCGCATAGGCAGCCACTCTTTTATTCTGCCACCTGAAACAAGGCTTCATTATCTTTTTCCTTCCGTTCCGTTCCTGTGTAGTACCTTCATCTAATTTGTCCTCGGCGCCATTTACAGGAGCAGGCTGATATCTTAAAATCAGAACGCTGGCGGAGACCACTGAGTAGGCGAGCAAAGTGCCTATGGAAAGAAACTCGACCAGAGCCTCCAAATCAAACACTAGGGCCAACGTAGCATTTAGAAATGTGAAGACAATGATCGCGTTAAGCGGTACCTGCAACAAACTTTTTAGATTAAATAAATGAGCAATGTTCTTTTGTTTTCTATAAATAATATCTCGCTACGGTTTATCCGAATCGCACAAGTAGTGGAATTATTGTTCTTTTACGCACTTTCGTAAACTTGTTCACGGTAGCCAAGCATGAGAATATGAGTCCGTCATCAGCCACTGCGTATACCGTCCTCGGTAATGCAAAAGCACCCGTCATCTGGAAAAAATGATGTTTGGCGTCACATAAGGCCATAAATTCGTGCGATTATATGTAGGTTCAAATAATTCAACGCTTTTTTCAATTTTTTATGGCGCAGAACAAATGTCAGTAAGGCTGCCTTTGCCCCTCTACCGGCACTATGCAGCGCCGTGTTAGTGCCATGTCAGAACCCATGTGAACTCGCACCGTATTGATTGAGACATGACACATTAGCACGGCGCTGGCACGGGCAATGGACGCAGTCTGAGCTTTAGCTTGGGCTTTTACTCCCCTTGTATAGGATTTTGAAAGAATGTGCGTGTTTTGAAAAGCACGCAAAGGTACGTAATAAGGTCCAATCCGTGCGTAGTTACAGGAACCTTCAAAGTGAGTTCAGAGCAGGGTCAAGCGTGTGATGCGACTGTCGCAACGGGGGTTCGTAAAGTGGGCAACTAAGGTGAGGAGGGGATCATAAGAGAAAGTAGTTTGGCTGAAAACCGTAAGCTTAGAAGGAAATCAAAAAGCAGATAACCATACAGGTTTTTTGGAATAAATTTAGAAAAAAATTAGAGATTAGAATACTAAGGATAAATTTTTTTTACAAATTCTCAAAAAAAAAAACATTCCCAAGAGCTCAAAACACTTTTGAAGGATGTAAGATTTAATAAAAAATCGAAATATATTAGGCTTAGGAATCTTGCTTCCGAAGCCTCACTGAAGTCTCACACACTCGACAAAAGCGCACTTCTAGATTAACGATGACAATCAATAATTCGTAAATCTTTTTGTATGCCATTTCTAGCCATTTATACGGCCCTTACAATTTGTATGTACTTTAGATAAGCTTTGCTATTAATGTGCGAAATCTGGTGTTATTTTGTAAACTGTGGATTTTCTTATGATTTTATGTGTGGCAAAAAATCAGGAAAGGGGGTCGTAACTGGGTCGCATCTGAATTTCTTCGGAGCTATCGAAGCTTTTTGGCTGCAATTTTGCTGTAATATGAAACCATCCTCCTACTTTCCCTCATAAAAATTGCAGGCTGTTTTGTTACTTCTCTGGTAAGTTACAAAATTTTAAGCTCAAATCCCAGTTTTTGTTTTTTAGGATCGCATCTAAATTTGCGAGAGTCGCATCTATATTTTTTCGAGCTTACTGCTCTTCAAGGGATGAAACTTTTTCTATGGATAGTCTGGTCACTATGCTACAGAACCTGTGCTTTGCAGCCTCTCAGTCTTTTCGTGCCTTTAGTTACGAATTTTCAAACTACCGTGCTCATGCACGTTTTTGACATCGTTCTGGACGGCGCTAAAGCGGTTTTTTTTCGCGGTAAAAACTGTGGAAGAGGTAGGAAGTAAGCTTCTTAGTCGAGAACAACTTTTGTAGTTTAAGAATGTCATTTTTCTCCGTGCAAAAATTTGTGTCGCATACGGGAATCGAATTTGCTGGTCTGAATGTTTGAAAATTCAAAAAAAAACTTGCAGAATCTCAAACATTATTGAAGGTGTATATGTGTGCTACAGATGCTGGGCGCACCTATTGGCCTAGAAATTCTGCTTCCGAAACCTCACTTAAGTCGCAGGTGCTTTTTGAGATTGACATTCGTTTATGCAGGTTACCTCGAGAACTATGGGCAGGGGAGGTAAGGGGAATAGATGGGGGAGGGTGAGGGAGGGGGGAGGGGGCCGTACGGACGGGTACCTTCGAGGGGGAGGGTCGTAAATGAGGGTCCATTGCATCAACACGCTTGACCCTGGTTCAGAGATGAATGCTGCATTCATCTCTGAGGAGGAAAAATGCCCCTAGATGCGTTCGCGAACGCCTTGAATAGCCCAATCCGGCTCACGAGGATCCAAACCGCAGATCGTGACATTTAGGCCCGTATGCACGAACATCCCCGCTGGGGTGGGGATCTGAGAGGGGATGCATCATATCTCGTTACTCTGCGTATCTTTCTTCTTCTTTCTCTATCTTGCTTATGAAGTTTTTCATACACTTATACCTGCGCATAATGGGTGCCAAGTTACTTCCATACAAGATTGGTTTTTTGCCATCTTGTGTGATCCCCTCGAAATCCCCTGGGGATCACCTCTCAATTTCAAAGTCATTTATCTTCCTGAGAAGTCAATGGAAACGCTACAAAATTGTACTGAGGATATACTACGGCACTGCTAAGGGTGTTTTCGACAGAAGAAATGGAATGTGAAGATTGTGAATTTTTCGATGATCCCTAGCTTTCGAGCCAGGGATTGCCGAAGAATTCGATATCCTGAGATTTCAATTATTTCTGCTATAGACATCTTTAGCAGTGCCGTAGTATATTCACAGTACAATTTTACAGCGTTTTCACTGAGTTTTCAGAAAGATAAATGGAACTGAAATTGAGAACTAATCCCCTGGGGATCCCAAGGGGATCCCCAGGGTTCATGCAAAATGTAAAAATCCAATCAGTTATGCCAGTTACCTGGCATCAATTATGCGCAGGTATTAGGGTATGAGAACTTTCATAAGCAAGATAGAAAAGGAAGAAGAAAGATACCTAGAGTAGCGAGATCTGACACATCCCCTCTCAGATCTCCTCCCCTCCGCAGCGGGGATGCACGTGCATACGGGCCTTAGATTGAAAGCCCCTGTAGTTCATGCTAATAAGCATACTTACCAGATTGTTGAACATGGCAGCCAATGCTCCTATAGTTACGACATACTTTGCCACAACTGCGCCTTTGTTTTCGAATGCGACAGCGAAGGGAGCAATGGGGTCTATCTGCAAATTAGGCATTTCTTCTTTTTAAAAACTTTGGTCAGTACCCAGTGGATTACCTCACTCCAAGGACTCATCAGTGTAAGGGAAGAAGATATAAATACATACGCACTGATTACTATCGTAAGGGATCCGAAAGTAGCAATGGGGATTGTTCTCTTAGGGTCTGAATAGTATAATGTTCTGGATTTTGTGCGAACACCTTGTTTTATTGGGGATCTTATTATCCCTTACTTTTCGCTTCTTCTCCTGCTGTTGAAAGACACTCGAAACCAACAAATGAAAAGAAGCATGTAGCCGCTCCAGAGAGGGTGCCGGAAATTCCGAACGGAAAAAATCTGAACATTTGTAGTGAGTAGCAAATTTACGCGGGATGAGACTATAATCTTTGATATTCAACCGGTTTGGCAACTGGAGGGCGGGGCTTTGTGACCTAATTAAGGCCGCTTGCACCCGCTACGCAGTCTGTGTATCACTTGCGCGCGCGCTCTCTACTCATTATCTAGCCTTAATTAGGTTACGAAGTCCTCCTTGCAGCCGCCAAGCTACTTGAATCAAACGGTACCTCGATCTTCCCTGTTCATCGGTTCCAATCCAATTTGAGAAGTCTGCATAGACTAACCCGTACACTGTGACAAATAGAATTATCTAAATTGGAGAGTCAAGCTCAATCGTTCCTTCCTCTTTTAATTATTCTTTTAATTATTTTTTCTGAATATATGGTGGGAATTCTATTATTACGTAATCTAATTTACCCCTAATTTTCAAGCGCACCCCTGCTAATCATAAGGAATTCTCACATTTGTTCCTCCTCCCGTCACCTTCCCCACCTCGAAAAATATCTCTTCACTTAGCTACCGCGATAATTCAAACCATCACCTCCTCTGAACCTTGTCTGAGGCCAAGATTGGCACAGAATCTTATAGCACACAATGCAGGCTACGTTTCGGAGAACTCGCCTCCTTCAGAGTCTTAGCAGATGGGGGGTGCAGACCACTTATCACAATCTTGGATTACGCTCAAGCAACTAACGAGAAGATTACAACTATGCCAAGAGTTATGGATAGTCGGACATGGATGTTCATTGTCTGAGTGTCGCCACCAATCATTAATTTCTTAGGCAATCGCTCGGAGCACAAGGATTCCGCAGAGATTAGTTTGCAATTGGAATGGCCAGCCAATTTAGATCGCTGAATAGACCTGATTTATTTTCTTCATGTTTCTTTTGCCTCTTATTACATTGGCCCATTTTTTGGAGAAAAGCTGATTCATGTGAGCGAAATAGACTGCCAAGTGATTCTAGGACTACATCAAGGAGTGCATCTCCGCATAAAGTAGGTGTCAACCATATGCTCCCTTTCCCGTAGTATCTACGCATCCGCGGCGCTTGGGCATTGAGCAGCGATCTCCGATTTATGCGGCAGATTTGAACGCTCAAGCGGTACAGGGCTCAGCGTTGCGCTTGAGCTGGTCGGGGAGCATATCACTGACACCAATGTTTATTCGCAGAACTGTGCCAAGATTTTCATAGTCTTCCTAATTTTACTTCAACTTTTCCATCTTTTTGAATGGTTCTCGATCGCCATAGTTTCTTGTGCTTCCCTCTTGATTTCTGAATTTACCTTTTCCCAAGATAATGAATAGTCTTTCTCGAATATCTTGTAGATTCTTTGCCATCAAGTTTGGATCCCCATTCGTGTTATACTTCGCTTACAGTCTCCCTCAATCCCAACCAGGCCATAACTGGCATGCCGGGATCCCATATCGCGAAGGTAGCGTCACGTCTACACCTAGCCAGTCTGCTCTCTCCTCAATCTCTTCGCTCTTTGCGACAGCGCGCATATGCAGCGCAGAATCCTATCGTTGCGAACGCGCAAATTCAGCCGGCGGTTCGGCCTCCCGATTGGGGCAGACTCTATTTTGGTGGGAAAATGTGCTAAGCTGACTGAGCCTGATCATGTTCTCATTTCTATGCTTGCTTCATCGCAAATGTGACTGCATTATCAGTCTGAGGCTTTTCAACACAGGTTTTTGCATAGAATTTTTACCACAGCATTTATTGTTTGTCAGTGCACTTTGCAGTGTTTGTAGTGCTCAGAGCTAGTATTGATGCTGGTTTCCGCCTCTGCCCCGTTCGTAGGGAGATGCGGATTTGCTGTGAGTGAGCCAGGGTGCCCTACTGTGTCCACCCCCGTGCGCAGGCGGACCTCCGTGTACACAAGGTGAGATATTCTGTACATATGTGCACTTACTTATGTTGGTTAAGGTCCCCGAAATCTGTCGATTTTTATCCCACTTACTGTATCTGTTTCACAGGAACGCCTTGCACTCAAGGAAGACGAGACTACCGCCGCCACATATTTTCTGTATCTTCTTTCTTTTCTTCTCTAATACTCCCACATGTTTTTGTTCGTTGGCATTGATTTTTATAAGTGAAGTATTTTTTCTTGTCTCAATTCATTTGAGAACATTGATGAGTTCATCTACGACCACGACCTTTTCAAATCTTTTTCTCACAGCAAAACAAGTGCTTTTCTCAGCGGTGCTTTTTCCAGCATGCTTCTCTCAGCGGTGCTTTTTCCAGCATTCTTCTTATTTCTTATTGCTTATCGATTTCTAATGTTTCTAATGTCTGCATTCTCATCGTTCCCTCTTATTCACTCATCTTATGCAGCTTATTTGCGTGATTATACTCATATTCATCATTCGATTGTCCTGTTACCTCTACCAGTGTTAAATGTTAATATTAAGTCGGTGCAAAAGTTCTGTCGTTTGAAATAACCTGCGAATCCCGTTCACTAAAGATAAACAAACACTCCTATCCGAGCAGAATTTCTTTCTCCTTCCAGTTATCATATTTGCAACGTGTTTCGTTGAGAGAGCGCTGAGGTAATTGTTGGAGAATACAACCCTTCGTTTTAACCATGTTCAACTTTCGCTAATTTTCAAAATTTTCATTCGAAACATTTGGGAAAGCTTTGATAGCCAGCAAGTAGGGCAAACCTTTTGCCAACTGAAGCAATTTTTGTTGTTTATCTGATCTTCTTCTTAATTTTGCTAAATCATTCTCAAGGTCTTGAGTTTTGATAAAAGCGCATACCAGTTATTGCACCAAATATCACAGATTCTTATAGAAAGAACTGAGGTTTTAAAACTCCCTCTCATAGCTATCACCAGGCTTACAAAGTAAGTGAGCAATTTCTTTTTTAAATTTTGAAGTTTTGGGAACTTGGGGGACGCCAGTGCGCACTCGTGAAACTGAAACTGAAAAATACTGTGGTTTTTCCCGTAATTTTCAGATGTCTAGCTAAAAATAGACAATTGATAAAAAGACATGAAAAAGATGCATCGATTGGTACCTGAGTCGTTTACCAATTCGTGTTGTACGAGGTTGAGTTAGGCAAAATATAAACTGGTCACTTCAAAAATATTTTTTAAAAATTCTGAAAGATAAGCCACATTACAAAAAATTGCTGAGCTGGCAAAGGTCTCCCCTACATACTGGTCATTAAAGCTCCCTCAAATTTCAAATGAAAATTTTGACAATCGAAAGTCAGGCATTGTGAAAACGAAGGATTGTAATCTCTAGCAATTATCTCAGCGCTCTCTCAACGAGTCACGTTGCAAGTATGACACATGGATAGAGGAAGAAATTTTTGGTGTACCGAATTTACGCGTTATTTCGAAAAACTGACAAAACTTTTGTACCGACATAGTTTTTCCATGAATAAATAATTTATCTGCCACAAGTCCTCCTTATATGGATACTTGTTTGAGTTTTGAGTGGTTTTCAGTGATCATAAGTAGTTTTAGTGACTAACTTCAATATGATAAGGCACTTAAATTTTGCAGACTATGAAATTGGAAGATCCGCAGTACTTAGTGAGAGCGCCATGGAGGAGACCCAGAGCTTCCTCAACATCCTGCGCGAACCAACGAGTGCTAAGTCAGCGTCAGGGCTGTCTGAAGATGTTCTTCTGTTTTCGTGATGCGAGGGAAATATTCGGGATGCATAGCAAGCCAACAGCGGCAAGAGTGTGATCAGTTTTTCTTTTTTTTACGTTACTCTTTCTCGGTCTCTTACTCACATTAAATTTTGGGTTACGAAATATATCCTCTAATTTCCAAATTTTTTGAGTTTGGATAAAACTCACAGCAAGGTTGACAAAAACAAATGTGGTGTTCACTACAGCGGATTCCTTCGAGCCAGCTGCAACTATAATCGCGACTACGATAATCAACAAAAATGATATAACGTCTGGATATCGGCTGAAAAAGCCACCTCCCTGCAAGAAAAGATTTCATGATTAGTACTTCACGTATTCCTTTCTTGAAGGAAAACTTTTGAAGCTATAAACTATAATTAAGTACATGCTTTGTATAGAAAAAAATGGTATTTGAAATTTTACCGAGCTGAGTTGACCCAAGGTACGCAGAGTAAAGTTGCTGATTGAATGGTGGACTATACTATCTAAATAGCCAGACCAAGAACGAGCCACAGCTGAAAAACCAGAATATCGCCTTATTATTTTCTCACTTTCTTCACATATTTACGTATCGAACTACCTGCATTTCCGATCATGTACTCCAATATAACCGTCCAACCAATGATGAAAGCCCAAATCTCTCCAATACCGACATATGCGTAAGAATAAGCACTACCGGCTCGAGGATATCTGTAGATCTTGATTGCACTATTATTGAGTCAGAAAGAAGAGAAAAAGCAACTGTTTCCACAAATAGCATGGTATCAGTCACCTTCATGAGTTTTTGTTCGCTTTCAAGACCACTTGTGGCTTGAAGCCTCACCTCGCTCCGAATTCCGCATAGCTGAACGCGGACATCAGAGCTGCGAACCCGGCCAGCGCGAACGAGATGATTATCGATGGTCCCGTTTGTGTATGGGTGACAGAACCTAGGAACACTTTCAAGGTAGTATTCCTATGGGTAATGGAAGGAGCCTACCAGCAAGCACATAGATTCCAGCACCAATCATTTGACCTACGGCTAAGAACATCACATCGATGACGCTGAGACATCGTTTCAGCTCCGAGTCAAGAGCGGAAGATGCTTCATAAGTCTTCTTGCGAAGAAGACACGGCAGCAAGTTGCGTACTTGCATGTGTGTGACTGATCTGTGCTGCCATATATCAGCTTTATTGAAAGTGGAGGGGGCGTGTCACATTTTTTGAACAATAAATGCAAAATATGATAAGATTAATCATGGAGCCTGCGTCTGTTCTATAAGAAGCAGTTCTAAAAAGTGTGGACGATAAAGATGTATGGAGCTTTTGAACAGAGATGAAATTGTCAACAAAATATCACGTTAAAAAGAAAGCAATGTCGTTACTTAAGCTATTGCAACAGGTAAACACATTACGACCAGACCATTTTATTGATTTGTGCCGTTTCGGGCATACAATCGGCGATGAATTCATTTTTTTCGATCATTGGTGGGTTTTATGATCCAAAAGGTATTCTTCTAATTAGAGCTCCACCAAATGTCAAATACGTACCGAATCCATGAACTTTCAATGTTGAGAAATACTACCTAATGGGTGTTATTGTCGTGTATACGTTCAACGCCGAAAAAGCCATGTGGGGTAGCATTGCATAGAATAAAGCAAGCTTTATAAGATAACTATTAAACAATCCAGTGAATCATGAAGCAAGGCCTGAAGCTGAAATCCCTAACGATTGATGAGCTAACAGAAGAAGAATCCGAAAAACGACGTTATTTTCTTTACATAGTTCAGCGATCTAGAGAACCCTTACCTGATCAGGACGTATACGCTTTTTGGGATAAGTTTTGGAAAGAGAGGAATAAGTGTGCAGTAAGTAATACGTCACATTGTCTCTTATCCAAGACACATTCAATTTGATGTGCAGTCGATAGCCACATCAATAAAAAGCGCTGGAAATGTAAAAGTTTTAGCAATTGCTTGGAAAGTCTTTCAAAACAACTGAATACTACTTGGTGAGACCTCAACTAGAATCCTTGAATAGATCATACGAGTTTGTTCTTAGTTGACTATGCATTTACACATGCATTTTAAGTACGTACAAGGCGAACCACAAAACCGGTTAGTGAATAATAGCTGACCATGACATTCATATTTGACGTAAGAAAGGAGAACGTAAACATAAAAAAATATTACGTTGTTTCAAGAATTCTATCCTCTTTTGTACCCCTCTTTGGACTGTTGATCTTGGGAAATAATCCAATTTTATAAACATTGCTTACAGCATTCGCAAGCTCTTTATTTGCAGTTTTCCATGTATGTTCCGGGTCGCAAAAGCTCTGCTCATCTGCTCATTCTTTGGCACCATATTTTGAAAAGACAATGATGCGAAAGTGAACTTCATCAATCTTACTTTATTTCCATGAATTTCACTGTTAAAGCACGATTTTCATTGAAAATGCTTAATGTTTTCTGGGAGCTTTGCTTTATTTAGTATAATCTTGGAAAATATGTCCCATGAAAATGGCGAGAACGGTATGATTAAAAACAATCGCTCTATACAGCGAGGATGGGCCGATAGCATGTGCTAGAAAAGCGATAGAAATCTTTGACTGTTGCCTGCGAAAATCCTAATTTGAAAATTCAAAAATTATTTTCTTTCCTATGTAATCTTCAAGTGTTCCGAGCCACACAGGTTTTTTAGATGGTCTTTATTATCCAATCACGGCCTAACGTTTCGACGCCTTCGTCTTCCTCAGAGGCCGAAAGACCACCGCTATATATGGTGCTCCGCACCGGAAATGATGGTCGTGGCGGAAGGCGTTCTTCCGCCACGACCATCATTTCCGGTGCGGAATACCATATATAGCGGTGGTCTTTCGGCCTCTGAGGAAGACGAAGGCGTCGAAACGTTAGGCCGTGATTGGATAATGAAGACCATCTAAAAAAACCTGTGTGGCTCAGAACACTTGAAGATTACATACGATGCCCAGGTTTAAAGAAAGCGAAACATGGAAACTATTTTCTTTCCACCTCTAGATAAAACTGAGTAGGTTTCTTTGGATTTTCTTGCAGGAATTTTTTGCGAAGATCAACGGAAACGAGCTTGATGATACTGCCTAGACGACCAGTGTTTTCTGAACGAAAAAAGTCTATGCTATTTTACTGTATCTCATAGATTGAGTTATTCTATTTGAGTCTTTCAAAGTAGGGTTCAAAGTAAAATGTTTGGAATGGGTAGAAAAACTTGAGTGTTGCTGCAAGGAATTCGAAGTACGTAGAATGTTGTAGGTATGTTGTATGTTGTAGCACAATTTATTGCAACCTCAAAGATCATTTCTAAAAAAGTTATCAATAATTGAAGTTCAACTCCAAAAACGCTAAAATTTTTGAAACAAGGCAATAAAAACCTTCAAAGCTCATCTTGAGAAATGCAAAGGTAATTACAAGAAAGTACGTCAGAAAATGAACTCAAGAGCAGTTACGGACACGCCATCAACGTTTGCCAACAAAACTCCAACTGTTCAAGGAGTATGCCGGAAGTTCCAAAACCGTTACGTTGATAAACCGCGCACAATCAGCATGATGGGTGATTAGGGCAGATGTGAGTAAAAAATTCGCATTGGTGATGCTGTTACTTCTCCAATTTCTGGATACTAGCTTCACTTCTTTCCCGTTTGTCTTCTGGGTACATGTTATACCTTTGAGTATTGGAAATTTTTTTTGAATATTCGAATAATCGGATTTTGAATATTTTTCGCAAACAAAAAATGTTGAATATCCGAATATCGAATATTTCCGAAAATCAAAAATGCCGACTAATCGAATATGGAATATTTTCGATATAAGAAAATTGTCGAATAATCGAATATCGAATGTTTTCGACCTGAAAAATTTTGAATAATCGAATATATATTCGAGAAAAAAACGAATAAACTAATAATTTGCATCGACTGTGTCGAATATTCAAACAATTTTTGATCGAATTAGTACCATAAAGAACTTGATGTAGTGACAACTTGAGCAACAAACGCTATTTGCTGATATAGCAATTAAAATGTGACTTATCATGTAAGTTACTCGATTACAAGAAAATGTCGAATAATCGAATAATTATTCAAAGTAGATATAAAAATGTTTGAATATATTCGAAAATAAAAAATTTCGAATAACCGAGTAATCAAATAAACTCGAAATTGAGAAATTTCGAATTAGCGAATATCGAATATGTTTGAGGTTTTTAAAATGAGTAATCGAAATTCGAATAAATTTTATTCGAATACTCTATCGCTCGAATAATTATTCGATTCGGTCTAAAATAGCACATGCTCACGTATCTGGCGCAACTCCGCTAGCTTATAAAGGTGTAGAAGAAAAGCTTACCTTATTGCTACGGTCATACCTTCGATAGTCTAGAGACACGGCGTCAAAAGTGAAGGTTGTTTGAACATCTGCCCTCACAAAAAATGAAGGTTGTCTATAGGAGGTCAGAGAAGAAGAAAAGACGCAAAACAGATACAAAAGGCAAAAGAAACTGCTGAAAACCGGTAAAAGCGCTGCAATGAAGTTTGAAATCTTTCATTTGGCGGCTTTTCAAGGTGCAGAGTTTTCGCTCCAGGACCAGAAATTTGCAACACGGAGGGAAAACGAGGAAAAGCTAATTTCTTTTTTGTGACTGTAAAAAAAAGCCTTGTTTGCAAGTGGCAGTTATCAAGAATAAGATAAACAAGAAAGAGCTTGGTAATAAATACGCAAAATTTCTTTTTTCCAAGTAGAAATGCACGTTAAAGCCAAACTTAGTTTTTGATGCGTCCTTCAAATTTTTACCCCGCATTGACGTTCCTGTTTCCTGGGACGTTGTCTGGATTGTTGCGCTTATTGTTTTGAGCAACAATCGTCAGAGCTGGAGAAAATCGCTGCGAAAGCACTGAAACAGAACAAGTTAAAGAAAACCGCACTTTTTACTATTTTTCGCAAAAAATTCCACCATAATCGAAGAGATAAGGGCTGGGTGGTTGCCTGCATTATGAACAGAAGCAAGATCTATGAAGTGCACGAGAAAACCGCAAAAAACAAGGTTTTTGCCGGATTTCTCGACCAAATGAGTAAATGTGGTTTTGAGACGTTGTCAGCGTGAGATTAGAGATCAAGAGCTTGAAAGTGGTATATAGCTTGCTAAAATTGGGTTCGAAACAGCGAAGAAAAGGGTACCAGAGCCAAATGCCCCGCGCCCCGTGTGTGGGATAGCGAGGTAGCGCGCAGCGCGCGGAGACGCAGACGAGCAGCGAAGCCAGACCAGAGCCGACGGGGTATTTGGCTCTGGTCGTAGATATCCGCGGGGTCCCAACGAAACCCTGCAACATTATATATGGTTCTGATCGCCTTGACACGACGAGGAGAACTGACAATGTCCCAAGCTTTGAAAATCACTTATTAACAGGATAGATCAGCGTTTTCGTGCGCGCTCTCTGCGCAAGATTCAAGCGCAGTTTCTCGTTTTTATTTAACTCCAACAGCTTTCCTAAATTTCTGAAACCCGATTTTGATCAAATAAGTGGTTAACTGAGAAATATTGTATGAATTCTGGCGAAAGCTTCACAGAATCTTCTTTTTAACGTAAAAAAGGCTATGAAGACGCAAATTCTAGGTTTCGCTGAGATAACCTAGGGAAATTATTCCCTATATTTGCTTCTTTAGAATGCATTCCGATATATAATAGTTAGGATAATAACATCCGGGGCTTCGCCCCAGATGAGTTCTTTTTTTTTCTCAGGTGAAGGCTGTGTCATCATAGCCCTTTAAGTGAAGGTTATTAGAGTATGTGGCTATATGTATCGAAGGTATGGCTGCGGTGCTGTGTACTTTCCTTTATATAGGTGGACAGTATTCTGCTCTTTTCTATAAATTAGTTTGTTGGTTTGAATTCTACTAGAAAGTACTAGACAAATAAAAATGATTGAATAAGGCAAAATTGATCCAGAACAAAGGAGTTTGCATGGGGTAAGCTCAAACTCGAAGCATATGCAATCATGCGGCCATCTAACATCATCTTATTCAAAGTTTGTAGCTCAATGTTAGCTCCTTTCAATGGCAGTGCCCCAAATTTTGCATCTCTACCTTTCTGATGATTTAGGCCTTTTCGACACGTAGAACTCGGATTTGAGCTTTAAACAGGGTGAAAAGACCGTTGCGACATTTACTCAGTTTTCAAAAGGCAGCTCGGACGAGAATTTTAGTGGAAAGTTGGGAACCCTGACATGAGAACAAATCTGCGTATAATTTTTGCTTTGGCTAGCATGCACAATGCGGGAGCGGTTGTGTGTTTACGCCGCAGGTATGCAAAGCCGTCCGAGCCTGCATCGATTTAGGTTTCGATAGTTCGAGTGCTATTTTCTCAGCGGGTAACATCAACCATCTTTTGGAGTTTACGGCAGTACAACATGATCGATCAGTTTGCTTATAAATCACAGTGATAAGAATGGCGGGTACATTTCAGGCATTCCAATTGTTGAAGGACAAACGCCATCTTTTTTAGTATTTGCAGTTGAATGCCTACATGGCTCAAAGAAAGCTCCAGCTATGAGTTCATACCGTATTCTTGTCTTGATTGGCATGTCTTTTCTTGAAAAAAATTTACTGCTTAATTCATGATCCACTTGCATGCGGTGCCTTTCATATGATTATATTCCCAGTCACATGCAGCTGATGCGCACAACTGCAATAGTATGATACTGCTTGAGTGATTATTTCAAAATGCTATCAAAAGCAGTTGATTCGAAACACACTGGCGATTATTAATATGTAATCGAATATGGTGCCCTCACTGTTAGACGGACATTAACTGAATTGGGTGGTTAAGTAATGAATTGTGATGGTTTCTATATCGGGAAGCATAAGATAGCATAAGATAGCGTCTGATAGAAACATGGCGGAGAACTTCTTCCAATGCAAAGCAGTCAAGAATGGAAAAGATTGGTGAAGGTGATCTCAGTGGCAAATGAGAAACATAGAGGATATCTTAGGAAGCATGCGGCACTGTACAGCAGAGTTACTGCTCACCATTAACCTCAAAAAATGTATTGTACCTGTCTTTACTTTATATTGTTATGCAAACTGTAGAACATGATACTTTGCAAATATAAAGGTTATGTTGACAAACCGTTTAGAAAAAATACGTAGATTTCAATAGATTTACTATCTTTGTTAGAAAAAACACGAAACGCTGAAAAAAAAACTCTCATCTAGCTATTCCACAGTTTCCTCAAAAGTGAGCCATTTTATTTCGGGAGCTGGAGAAAAAGTATTGATGACAAGCCGTTTTCCTGTACAGTATGGTTTGATAAAATTTTCCGTAGGGCTTGGAGTCTCGCTTATATTGTTCATGTTTTTCGTTCAGCATGCAATGTTGTGACCATATCTTCTTCGTAAACTGTTACAGATTTCTACTCGTTTCATTACCAATTTCTACGCAGTTAAAAATTTTTGATATTGTTAGAATCTTCTTAAGATATAGAAAGGCGTTTTTACTTTACCGTAAAAGCATGTGCTTTTTTTCCAAAATTCGGGATACTCTCTGCAGCCTCTTATCTTAGCTTTCATTGCTGATAAACCGGATTATACTAATTCAAAAAAATTCCAATTAACTTGGAATTTTGCAGATGGCCAAAGTATGGCCATCTGCAAATGATGATATGGAAAGGTGCCGGGAATCTTAGAAATTTGATATTGCGTTCTTGCCGTGAATTGACTTCAATCAAAGAAAACTCGAAAGAGGTGGAATGTGTAGATTTTTCGAATTTCGATTGTAACAGCGTATCTTTTGCCAGACAGACTGTTTTGTCATGCTTCTACTGCTGATCAACGACTGAAGAGTTTTGAAATGTGCTGAATTTTTACGTGGGTCATTTCTATAGAAGCAAACTTATTTATAAACAAACTCAAAAGCGACTTATCTTCTTTCAATGCAGGTATGCCCTAATCTGCCTGTTATTTCTTCTTTGCAACGGTCTCACAGTAGTTTTTAAAGCAGATCTTGCTTTGACATTGGCAAACACAAACGTTTTCAACGTATGCATGATTGCAGCAGCATCACGGAAGACAAGCTGATTTATTGCTGCCTAAGTGGACAAAGTCTTTTGCAAGTAAGCTAAAATTTCATAGCAATTTCATTTCTTTATCTACAGTATACCTTTGCCGACAAACGTGAAGTATTGTGGATGTAGAGAATGACAAGTGTCACATTGTTCCTCGTGACAGACATTGCGTAACTACCATGTAGGTTATGCCTGTCGTCTGTATTAACTTCACAACTGCAAATACTTGTGTCATCCTTGTTCTACGAAGTATAGGTTCAAAACTTGTATTACTTCATTCTTGAGTCCAGCAGTCATTATTGTAGAAAACAATAAAAAGAGTGCTGTACAATTTCAAAAGATTACCTTGGACTTATGTGTCGCAATAATTCTGGAGTTGCTCTCAGTGCGATTACCCTAATTTCACGCATGTGGGAAGCGGGGATTTTATTCTAAAATTGAACACAACGCCGAAGGACTTCGCGACAAAAAAACTATTTACAGTGCTGCATATTGCATGAGAGTATCATGCGGCATAAGTCTCGTTTTCAGAAACAAGGCGAGTGAGTCGCACGCTTGAAATATCGAAAAAAGGTGCGTCTTGTACGCGTGAAATTAGAATAACAAAATTGTAGAATAAGCCCAAAGCAAAGCATATGACTCATGACGTAGCAGGGTCATCTTCAAGCTCGATTCATTCTCAATTTCTCAACTTATTAGCTTTAAAAATGAATTTGTTTTTCTGACGCTCGGTGATCAGCCATTCTTAGTTGTGGAAGTCCTGTATCAGCTACAGTTCGTCTCCTTTTACCTTCTTTACTGTGACGCACACCATAAAGAAAGTATATGACCAATCCTGGAAACGGATAAATGATATTGCAGTTTCTTCAGGTTTATTCTTTCATCTCTCAGATTGTATGGAAATGCAACTGAACAATAACTGTGTAAGGATTATGGAAATGACATGTGTCGAAGCGATTTAAATACTTATGAAGCAAAAGCAGGAATCGTTTTTTTCAATCACGCATATAGTACTGCTATAATAAAAACTGTTCCAGCTTTGAATTTGGAGCGTAGTTTCATCCCGAAAACATGTCATGTTCGCAGGTTTACAACAGTGATTTTTTAGTTGTATTCGCGCAATTTCTATGCAATAGTAGTGCGTTGCATACGCCAGTGGAGATTACCAAAGCAATTACACGGTTGTCGCAATCAGGACCGAGTCAAAATTAGTATGGTGGCGTCCTTAGCGCCACATTTTGTGCACGTCTAAATATACAGAAGATCTTGACAGGAATCTGTTTCCCACTCATGCTTAATTCTTGGCAATTTGCATAAGTACATGCAGCGCAAACTAGAGATGCATTCACGCGTGCACGCCGACATTTTGGATCCTTGTTGTTACACAGTGTTTGTAGAATGCAAAGATCTTTCTCACCTGCTCCTATCCAGATAAAGAAACGAATCCAGGTCAAGTAAGTAAGATAGGCCATCATGAAGCAGTTGATGAGCAGACTGAGGGCAGGAATCAGCGGCACGAAAGGAACCTAGAAAAGCAAATGCAGAAATGATGCAAAGACACAATGAGTCCACTGGAAAAGTTGCCCAAAGGAGGACTTCTGATCCGTAGTCTACCGACGGGCCGACCTTTTTGGGGCCGCAGGCATTAGGCTGCCTTCATATTAATCCGGAAGTCCTGGAACAGTTCCAGCACAACGGTCAGTTCGAGCCTGTGCCGGAACTGTTCCCGAACTTCCGAATCAGTATGAACGCAGCCTTAACATCCCCGTCAGGGAGGGGATTGCAGCTCAGAACAAAACTTATATCCTGAACTTGAGATATCTGAATTGCGCGCTGTCTACCTATCCAAAACAAGCCCTACCATCTTTCACATAGGCATATCAAACAGAAACGAGAAACTATACAAGCCGTAATTTCTAGTTTTTGTATGGCCGCTGAGGCTGACCATCCTCTCAGGCCCGTATGCACGTAAATCCCAGCTGGGGGGGTGAAGCAGGAATCTGAGAGAGGATGCGTCATACCTCGCTACTCTACGTATCTTTCTTCTTCCTTTCTATCTTGCTTATGAAGGTTCTCATACCCTTATACCTGCGCGTAATGGATGCCAGATTACTGGCGTGATTGATTAGATTTTCATTATTTTTGTGATCCCCTGGAGATTCCGAGGGGATCACCTCTCAATTTCAATGCCATTTATCTCCCTGAAAACTCAATGAAACGCTGTAAAATTGTACTGTGGATATTACGGCGCTGCTAAAAATGATATAGTAGAAATAAGTGAAATCTTAGAATATCGAAACGACAATTCCTGGCTCGCGAGCCAGGGATCATCGAAAAATCCACTGTCTTCAGATTCCATTTCTCTTGTCGTAAAAATGCTTAGCAGTGCCGTATTATAACCTCAGTACAATTATACAGCTTTTTCGTTGACTTCTCTGGAATATATTAGGCTGGAAAGTAAGTTTTGCAACTGGTTTCATAACTTCACTCTCTTTGGATATGGCTCATTCGAACTTTGGTATTATGTAAAAGGCAATGTGAGCTACAAGAGAGCACAAATTGTCTAAATTTTAGACACGAAATAGAATAGTTTCAGGCATTTTTCGAAAACTAGTGAAATTTGAGAATTTTTGGGGTTATAGGCTAAAATGAAGCCTTTAGCAGCCTAGACCATGCGCAGTAATCCGGATTCGTCTGCAAATTATTGCTGGAGGTTGAGTCCTTTGGCCCATTAAGAAAGAAACAAAATTTAGGGGCATGTCAAGATTTGTCCTCATAAACTCGAACGAGTCGATGTATGCAAGAACTGAAGGGGACCACCGTCAATGACTAAAGAGTCCGAAACTCAAATTCCGCCGAGACTTAACATAGTAAGGTTATTTGACCTGCCAAACGCAAATATCACATTCATTTGTTGATTAAACGCTTTTTTCCCTGTTTAGGGTGAGACCCCATATCGTACACCTACAGTAATCCTACAAAAAAAGCCCTTGTCACGCAATTTTAGTATCGTTTTCGTGATCCCCATGTCAGATAACACCCCTATGCCAAGTTTCAGCCAAATCCGTCAAACTTTGAATTTTTCCCCTTCATACCATGCACCTACTGTAACCCTCACTGCGACGTCAGAATTTGGTAGGACAGCAGCTGCGCTTGTAGCTTACGTAATAACCAACGCAGTGGCAAAATTTGAGTGCGCCATGTTGAGTGAGAGAGAACTTATGAGACCAGTTGCAAAACTTAGTTTCCAATCTAATAAATCATTTTCAAAATGAGAGGTGATCCCTTGGGGACCAGGGGATTCTTAGAGGATCACACAGATTGGCAAAAAACCAATCTTGTATGGAAGTAACCTGGCGTCCATTATGCACAGGCATAAGTGTATGAAAAATTTTATGAGCAAGATGGAGAAAGAAGAAGAAAGATACGCAGAGTAGCGAGATATGACGCATCCCTTCTCAGATCTCGTCCCTCCCCAGCAGGGATGTACGTGCATACGTGCCTTAGAGTAATTTCTTTTTCCAACGTTAAGACCATTCCAAAGACGTAATGATTATCTAAACCAACAGTGCTTAGCATGTTGCTGATTAGGGTTCCTTCATACCGCGTCGACACTCGCCGCTGGCATAGAGTGCCTTCAGACCGCGCCGGCCCTCGCCGCTGGCAGCCCATAGCAACCACTGGCAGCCCGTAGCAGCCGCTGGCAGCGTAGCAGCCCCAGCAGCCGCCAGGAGCCCGTAGGCGCCTCTGGCCGCTTTTGTCATAGAAGCCCAAAATCACCAAATTCTTACTAATTGGAGTACGCCCGCTCACGCTCTCCATCTTCCACGCTTCTTCCCATTGTCGCAAATGTGCAATTTCAGGCTCACACATTACAAGATGTTATATTATTATTTTCACATTATTCAAGACCAGTCCGAAGCGCCGCTTCGCGGCGCTTCCGACTGGCTATATGTGTACAGTGAGATGTGAATGTCAAAGTTAAAACGTGGAACTTTTCTTCGCCAAAAATATGGCACGGATTTTTCAGACGTTTTAGCGTGATCATCTTTTGACAAACTGTAACTGCAAAGTTGCTCATTCACACATTTTGGGAAAATCCTCCGATACCCTCAAATTCTCACATTCAGAAATTTTCTGACCGAAGTGGCCGTCACAAACTCGGCAAGCTTTTCCCAGCTATCACTCTCTTGACTATTTTCACCCAGAGCCCTTTCATCGCCTGTCCCTACGAACTACTTTAATATTTTACTCCTTTTGAATCAGGCTCTAATGAAAATTTGGGTTGAGGAAGCTACGTCCTCGGTCATGGTCGAACACCGCTGCGGCTCTGGCCAACATTCCAACTTATAATTATAAAATTTTCTAAATCAATAAACATCCCTTCCTCCTTACAAAATATGCTTTGTTAGAAGGTGCGCAAACTCTTTCCACTTCAAAAATTCTAATACGAAATCCCGTTCGTATTCTATATGGAATTTTTAAATTGTTCAACACTTACGAAATTCTACCCACCTCTGAGTCCACCCCAATTTCCAGCTCATCTTGGTAGCCTCTGACTCAAATTCTACTAAGACAGCTACTATTAGAGTGTATATCTAATTTCAGCCGTTCACCCAAGCAAATCGTTAGCGTTTATACGATTCTGAGGTTGTGCATCTCTTTTGCTCACTTGATACACTGATAGCAAACAGAGAGCATGTAATTCTTTTTAAACTTCTATCACGATCGTCGTGAGTTTTTTTACAGTATTTCTGAAATTTTCGGTCTTTTGAGAAAAATGCGAAATTCTAAGTTGAAGTCTTCTGTTAAAACCTACAATTTAGTTACTAAAAAGCTTTTTGCATCCAGTGTAGAGTTTCAAGACTTCGCATCATCATGTTTTTATCACTTAGTGGACAGCATTTGAAAAGTTTACACAATATTGAAATGTTAAGTGAATAAAATCAAAGACTTTCGAAAAGCAGACCTTATCGCGCTTGCACGTGAGCTGAAAAATTGCACTGTTTTCTTATGGTGTTCAGTAGTTCGAGTTCATACATAATATCATACATCCATGTAGAATAAAAAACCTACCACAGTTTTTTGAAACAATTCTCGATAAGATATCTAGCTTCCTGCGAACCATGCAATGTTAGGCAAAACAGTTCTACATCTTTCCGTCTTCTTTGATGACACCGATATTACCACATTGCCTAACATAGACGATATGGAGTTCATGAAAAGTACTTGGAAATCTTCGATATTGTTCTCTCTACATTGGATCAGGCATATTACAAAAGAGGCTTTCTCTATTTCCCTATTCTTTTGTGCAAATCTTACAGATATGCCACTACAACATCTGACTTCAAGTAATCTCAATAGTTACACAATTACATCAACTTATGTTTATGAAGGAGCTTTTCGACAGTAAGGCGGTAAAAATTGCAATAAAAAAAGTTCGCAAGCTTCTCAGAGATATTAATCAGTCAGTGAGATGTTCATGACAATAATTCTGTACAAAATGACGCTCATGAATTAATGCCTTCTTGCTCGCAAAATATTCAGCTACTTTCAGGGCCAAAAATAGCGTAACAAAATAATCAAGTAATTTCGGATCACCTCGATGTTACTACCTCCCCTGCTTTTTAGACTTTGTTTTGAGTTTATCGAGAAATACTTGAAAAAAGGGAAGAAACATTGATGGATCCTTTATATTGACACAAATGCAACGTTTACAAATAGTAGATGGTATGCCAGGTGCATGTTTGACATTGCGAAGGAGAAATTTTCGGCGTTGAAAGTAGACAATATGTGTTGCAAAAAAAGTCCGTCTCAAATTTTCAGGTAGTATTTCACATGACAGCAGTTAGACTTCCAGAATATTTTTCTATGACATTTTGGTGCCAACTATTGCCTTTTCATAAGACGTTCCAGTTTCGTCCAAATTAGGTGCAGAATTGCTGAATGAAATAAATTGCGCGCTTCTTGGTTCTTTCATCTATATTTAGACCTATGTCACAACTACCGCAGTTTTTTAGGCAATTATACTGATGTATGATTCATATGTGAATACATGTTGATTTGCAAAGAAATCTTTCCGACATAGTTTATTTTGTTACAAAATCGCACAAAGCATAGGCCTTTTTTGGATGGCTTCAAAGCTAGATAGATTGCAACCCAATCGCGCTTGCTATTGTCCAGTATGTGCTAACGTATAATTTTTTTTCAAGAAGGTTCGATTTTCACAGCAAGTTCAAGGATTTTTTCATGTGAAGATAGTTCAGCATGCCACATTCGCTTCTTTTGCTCCATTTTTGTGGAAGGTTTTTTCAAAGTAAATTTTGAAATTTTTCCATAAGGTACGTTTGGTGATGAAGACAATAATGAAATGGTGCACAGAACGAAAACGCAAAATGAGTGGCATGATTTTGCTTGTTTTGGGGATTCAATTTTGAGAGTAAATTTTGGTTTTGCACGTGAAGATACGTTTAGTGATAAAAACAATGATGATGTGGTACACCAATCAAGAAAGAACTGAGGAGATGTAATGCAGATATTAATGTTAAGTATTATCACCAACCTGAAGATGCTGTCCGCAGTTTGTTTGCTTGAGCAAATGAAGCAAAATGTAAAGCGGTTGAAATAAATCGACCGCCAACAGCGTTGTAGGCGACGGAATTGGGGTTGTACTTAGCTTGACGTCGTGATAAACATCACCGAAGCAGACGGAACACCGAAGATGGCACAAAACATCATACCATTGATGACTCCATAGGTTGCACTTAGGTTGAGTCGTAACGGTAAACAGTATGGAAGCGGGCGAAAGTGCAAGAATTAACTCAGAGATCTGGGCAAACATCCTTCGCCGGTTGTTGACGTTGGATGGTCCCCCCTGCGCTTTATTATAGGGTATGATAAGCACCGGCCAAGGATATGATTGAAACAGAACCATACTTAGAAAATAACCGCGAAGAAACATGGCGACATATGGTTTAAGTGCGAGAGGGAAACTGAGCTCTAATAAAATAACCAATCTACGGTCGAATTGCGACAACAGGAAGGAAGAAGTGTGGAAGATAGAAAGCCTTAGAATAGTAAGAATTTGTTGATTTTGCGCTTCTATGACAAAAGCGGCCAGCGGCGGCTGCTGGCGCGGTATGAAGGACCCTTAGAACACATGAGTTACTGTGACATCGAAATTTTCAATAAATCCCAACTTTCGATTTGTGGTTTATCGCAAACTTCATAATTCAATAAAATACTTGTTCTTATCAGAAACATGTTGGCACTGTTAATCTAGATAATCAGTGAAAGTTTGGCACGTTTCCATTAACTTTGGAGACGGAAAAATGACTTTGAAAAAAAGGCGATCAGTTGCAGGGATGGACCTCCAGGGGAGCCTGCAAAAAGCTGGAAGTTGCGGTTTTAAATTTCCTCTCTCCTGTTCAATATGTTTGTGAAGGATAGTGGGAATACTTATGGATTGGAAGATAGCGTAAAGTCCAGACATCTAGAGTTTCAGGATATGAAGGTTTCTTTAAAGCTACGGTACAGGGGGGGGGGGGGTTCTTATTGCAAGCAGCCCTAGGTCTAATGCACGGCAAATGCAATTGTTTCAAGTGCTGAGCGCGTCAATGCCAGGACTCACACCCGGTAGTGCTTTTTCTGCTACGGTTCCTATTTTGACTTTAATGCAAATGACTTGCTCACTGACTTTTCGGCATGCTGTAATTTGGCATTCTCACATTTTATTTCAGTTTCATTCAAGTTCCACTGCTTTACCATCCATTGGGTGTTTTCCTTCCATTCGAGAGAAGAAAGGTGGTTGGTGAAACACATCTTTGCACAAGTCAAATCATGTCACAATACCTTATTTATTTTCAATACATTTAAATTATATTAAAAAATTATGTGTTGGGCCGACACTGTCATGAGAAAAATGTCCCGTCTTCGTAACCCAGCGATATACGTTGCGAAAGCGAGCATCGATGGCCGGTTACATCATGAGAAGAACGGACGACAAATGAACACTAAGAACATCAAAGTGGATTCCTCGCGAAGCAAAGTGTTCAGAGGAAGACCACCAACGAGATGGGCACACAGTGCTCGTGGAACGGATAGACCAGCTGAGAAATAAACTGGACATGATTTTCGTACTGGAACTCGTGGACGCAGCCACCGACGTTAGCCAAGAAAATCGTTGATATTTAAAGCGAGAAAAAACAAAAACTTCCGTGCTGGGATCCGCACTCACTTGAAGCTGGGCCGTCTAAGTAAGTAAGTAATGTGGCTAATGGGACGGTACGTATTTGCAAAAATCAAATTACGCTTCACAGCAATACTCTGAATACAACACTTGTATTCTGCATGCAACCCGTCCTTTAAGGGCTCGTACTGTATTCTTGCAATATAAACCTTACAAATAGGAATTCTTTCCAACTTTCCAGAAATTGCTACAACCACACTTTATTCATGACTTAGTTTAGTTTTGCACACAAACTGCACTGCATCTTTGTTATATCGAATTCTTGGCAATATGTTTTCGGGTGAAAGTGGACAACTGTATACGCTCATGGGTGAGGCCCAGCAAGCAAAAAAGAAGCTCTCCTCGTTCTTGCTAGGCCTCAACCATAATATACTAATTTGCCTGTGACTGTCTTATTTCCCTTGCGTATCATTCTTTTGCTGATATCCGTTGCAAAACATCATTCATAGTGCAAGGTCTTATGCGCTTACCCCTGCGGTTCCATGTGCGTGCAAGTCTTGTGAAGTTAAAAACAATGTGCCCAGTACTTACTTTGTGCGTATATGACTGAGCTTTCTTTGCGTTGTGACAAATCTATGGGATTACTACTATGGTTCAGAGGTTCTTGCCAAAAAAGCAACAGATTAGATTCTTAAAACAGCCATTAGAGTAAATTTTTTTGAAAGTCCTTATCTGTTGTGTTGCGCACATATGAATGTAATTCTCCAAAAATTTTTTAGCACTCATGGTGCTGAGTGAGCACATATTGGATGTTCAGTAGCCTTACCTTATATGACAGGTCCAAAGAATTCTGATTGTGCCCATAGATAAATACGAGAGTGACAATTATGAAAAGTACGCTGAGTGCTATGGAGATGTAGCCCAGCCCCATGGAATAGAGCTCTGTAATAACTTTCAGAAGCTTAGTTGCCGAAGATAGTATGCGGAAAACATTTCTTGATTCTTTCGTTGAGCTGCTCACTATTTACATCATTATTTGAAAACTTGCTGACCAAAAATGAGCTAGAGCTTGTATAAAAAATTTCCCACCAAATCGCATCGAGAAAGCTAGCCAGAAATAGCTAAGAACAAGCGTTGGTACAGCTACGTATATGGTTTTGCCGGTCGGTAGTTTCTCTAGGTAGTTGCGCATGGGCACCCACCGTTTGAACGTGCCACCTAAACAGTCTAATAAATTGATTGCGCTGACCAATAGCTGTTGTTTAGCTTCAAATCACCTTCGTCCCACTTGTCCGAATCATCACTGATGGGAGCGGGTTGGTACCTCATAAGAAGCACACTTGCCGATACTATCGAATAGGCAAGGAAAGTTCCTATAGAAAGAAATTCGACCAAAGCTTCGAGATCAAATACCACAGCTAATATCGCATTTAGAGTTGCGAACACAATGATCGCGTTTAGCGGTACCTGAACAAATTCTTTAGCGCTTTGCTTTTAGGGGTTATGTTCAGGGTCAAGCAAGGGGTGTGGCACACGATCGCTGGTTACGACTCCCCCCCCCCTCCCTGATTGCAGTCTTAATAAGACCCCCCTGAATTATATACCTAAGATAGCATCACCTGAAGGCCCTGTCAAACATGATGGGCAACATATCCATAATGAGCGTGTCAGTTAACCCCTGTAGACAAAGTTTGAGCGAATTCGGAGATTCAAGATACTAGGCTACCTAAGTGAAATGGTCATTTTCCAACATAATTAACTTTGTTTCAAAGGTGAATTAGCTATCCGTTTTTGCACTCAAGACAAAGGCTACTCCTTTGTCCATCCAAAAATCCCGCTTCAAAAGACCTCCAAACTGTGGAATTAGAAGCCAACCAAAATCTCATTTTTCCCATTTTCTGCTTTTGATGGCTATGCTTTCATCAACTATTATTCAGAGCAAAAAAAAACGAATGAGGCTCAAATCACTCCTGTGAAAACTAGGAGATCTGGGCTATCGATCCATATAAAGGGTTTGCTAAAAATGTTTTTATGACGTAGTTAATGGGGTGTGCCACACCCCATTAACTATATCAAAAAACATTTTTAGCAAACAGTATTTATATGAATCGATAGCCTAAACCTCGTAGATTCCATAGGAATGTTTTAAGCCTGATTCGTCTTCTTAGCTCTAAGTAGTAGTTGGTGAAAGCACAGCCATCAAAAGCAGAAAACGGGAAAAGTGAGATTTTGGTTGGCTTCTTATTCCACAGTTTAAAGGCCTTTTGAAGCGGGATTTTTGAGATGGACAAAGGAGAAGCCTTTGTCTTAAGTGCAAAAACGGATAGCTAATTCACCTTTGAAACAAAGTTAATGATGTTGGAAAATGATCATTTCACTTAGGTAGCCTAGTATCTTGAATCTTCAGAATTCGCTCAAACTTTGTCTACAGGGGTCAATTGACATGCTAATTATGGATATGATACGAATATCATGTTATCACTATTATGAGATTACCCAACTACGACCCCTCCCCATTTGACTTCTCAATACGACCCCCAGGTGTGGCTTGCCACACCCCACGCTTGACCCTGGTTATGTTGGAGAAAAGCCCATGCACAAATTGCTTATGAGAGAATCTGTTTGGGAAATCGTATACTGCTGACAAGGGGCAATGGTTAAAACTTAACCCAGCCCTCCCAAGCAAGATATAAATCATGGAACTTGTCTTGAAACGCAAGCATATGTTTATTAGCCACAAACGACTATCTTGAGTGAGTAAATGATCGTTTAAATGTGCGAATGTGTTAAGTAAAGCTCTACAAAAACGTTTTCAGAAATACTTGTTCATATTTTTGGTAGAAGTGTCTCTTCCTTGTAATTGGATTACTCATAATCACCAAAATCACTCGCCCTCAGGCTGCCTTACAATAGACTATATTCGCTGGGACTCGAATATCAAAAATATCTTTTATTTAAAAATTGTAACTCCTCCTAGAAGTCGTTTGGCAGATAATAAACATTTGTAAAGACGTTGATGTTGTTGTAGCCGACACCAAGATTATTAAACTGTTTACTCGGCTTCGTTTCGACCTAGTCGCCTTCAGCAGAGCCTATAAAGTATAGAACGTTCAGATTTATCCCACCATACATTTCATCATTTGCAGGAAAACATTTGAGAGGTAGATAAACAAACTCCTTTCCGAAGCTAGAACATAGCTTACCTTAGCTGATAAAAGTTGTTAGAGACCACCGTTGGTTGGTATGCGCTTTGTGACAAATGAGTGCGGTCCCCGGAATCTGGGATCAAAACTAGCTTAAATCTAGGAACGGCGCGAGCTCAGTTGTTGCGGCGATGCAATAATTTTTCGATTCAGTTTAAGAATTTTAGTTGAAATCCAGTACACCTCAAGAGTTTCCCAGACACATCATTTTGCCTTGATAGTAAGCTAACAGAGACAACAACAACGGCTTACCCGCTCTCATATGTATTCTTCCCAAGAAAGCATACAGGTGATGAGATGGATGCCTATCGAGTGAGCATGGAACAGATAATTGAAAACATACCCTCAAATCTCACAGAAGACCTCCCATCAGATAAGTTCGTCTACAGATATGTCCGCCTTCAAATAGGTCCGCTTTTTTGACTTAATTAAAGTCCTCCAGACAAGTCCGTCTACAGATAAGTCCGTTTTCTTTCCACCATAACTTGCTGAAATCTTGTCAGGAGAGTCCGAAGATTGTCAGATAAGTCCGTACTTATTTATAGACGAACATATCTGATAAGAGGACTTATCTGCAAGATTCTTTGCGGTGCGAGGATGCATCATCGACTTTTCTTGTCAAAAAAACGGACTTATCTGTAAGATTTTAGAGTATATCTAGAATGAGCGTTACGAGAGTGTCCGATGATATACAGCTTGTTTAAAATGACTGAGTTAAGTTTTCGGACTATTGCCTTTAATGAGCGTTACGAGAGAGTCCGATGATATACAGCTTGTTTAAAATGACTGAGTTAAGTTTTCGGACTATTCCGATGATCAAAATGTTGTTCCTTTTCTTACCATCAGCATAAAAATTCTCGGATTTCTCATAACATTTTTCTTTCAATCATTTGCTACCATACTTATGAGGGCAAAACTCAAGCAGTGCTTGAACCTTCTAATCTTCTTTGAATTAACCGTTTTCAAAAGCTGAATAAGCTATAGACGACCATAAGACTTTAAAGGAAGTTTTCAGCGAGATGTCTAATACATATCCTTACATCGCCAGTTCATCTGAGAAAGAAAGCTAAATCTGACATACTTTTGTGTGCTTGTTCACTTTACCAAGCCATAAAAATAGCAGCCCGTCATCTGCCATTGCATATACGCAGCGGGGCAAGGCAAATGCACTCGACGCCTGGAACAACAGATTATATAGATACTACTTTACAAAAATATTAGCTTTTTTGTCCGTCATTGTGATTAAAGCTATGTGACTTTGCATCACATTCATTGAGGCCTTTATGCACTTACATTCCCGCCGAGAAAGGAGGGAGCCGTGATGGGACCCCCCGTTGTCTTTCAGGAATCTGCATCCCTCGTTTATGCTCATCTTGCAAAAAAGCTCAACCATCATAATGCCTCAGCTTAATAAATTGCCCAGCTTTGCCAAGCTGAGTTTTAGCTGCTTTAACACATTGACGACCGCTTGACACACATGGTGTGTCAAGCAATGACTACCGTGTGGGACCGCTTGACACATGTGTGAAGGCTTGAATTTTGTCAAAATAACTACTATATGTACTTCGATAAACATACTCCACGAGCTTTCTTTTGCAGTGAGTCTACGGATGACTTCTGCCGTTATTTTCAGCCTTTCAGATCTACTCTAGGTGTACTGTAGATGGCAGAATGCGTAATCATAGTTGAAAAATGCCGGCTGATCCGTGAAAGGCCTTGATCCCAGAAGGCGAACAACTAAAATTCTGCATGGTCGTCAATGTGTTAAATAGTCTCCTGATCCTCATGGAACTGCCGCTTCAAATCAATCATTCTTCGACATAATAAGGTGGTAAGAAATGTGATAAATTACGACGCTGCTGAGCAATTCGGCAAGACAGACTATATAAAAGTAGTGAGTATTGCGGCGAACACGACAGCGAGCATTGGTTCAGCAAGAATTTTGTCATTTTGTAGACTCGCTTATTTTGCTGAAGCGATGACATATCAAATTCTTAACATAACTTCACGAGGTTTCCATTGGGTGTAGGATAGATGTGAAAGAATGTTAATCCCTTAGAAGTTTATGCAAAGGTGTTAGGGCTGTCCCTTCCAAAAGATGGACGGAAGACCAGAATAGGAAGGATTCAGATTTTTACAAGGCCAGTTAATCCACTCACAGCTCTCAATCGCGATTTGCGTGTATGTATACAAGCCTTAGAGTTTTAGTTCTCATACACTAACATCATTTTAAGTTGATCCTTTACGAAGCTGCTTTCGTTACTTAAACGAATTTTCTAAGTCCTTTACCTTACGCAAATTTTGTATCCATTCTCACAAGGGAGATCCGTTCGGTCGAAGTGGCCTTTTCACGTGAAATTGATACGATTATAAAGGGCATCGAACGCTGATTTCAAATCTGTCTTCGATATCTACCAGCGCCTCTGGACGTCGAGATATGAGCCTTTTTTAAGTTGAAGAATTCAAAGCCTAATTAGCACAAAATTCGTCAGAATTGGAATGGTCCAATGTTGATTACAGGGCACTCCATTTAGAGAATACCTTCTGTCCAAAACACTCATACTTAACACCGCTCTATTTGAGCGCTGAAAAGGCCGTAAAAATTTGATTTTACCCAGATATGAGTTCATTTTCCGCACTAATAAAATCTTCATAACTCGGCATGCAGAGGCGCTCGGCAGATATTGAAATCAGATTTAGAATCACCCTTTGATGCTTTTAAAGTGGTATAGGCCTCATTTGGAAAGGCCACTTCGACTAATCGGACCTCCCTTGTCAGATGCAATTGACACTGACTGCTTAGCAAATTTCTAATCAAAACCTATCAATCTGTACACCTCTAATGTTTGCCTTTAGATGACTACAAGGAACTTCGTTCCTCTCTAAATCAACAACTTCGCACAATCGTAAGACTATCTATCCGATGCTTTCCGATTCTGCATTTCAGACGAAGGGCACGATGCCCACATAGAGTAAGGTTTCAACATAACGCCTTTGTTTCATTATAAGAGTCTTTCCGTTCGCTAGTTTAGACATCCCCTTCAAATAGCTTGATTTGATGCACTCAAAGTAGACGGTGCTGAATTCTTCCGCTGCGGGGTTGAGTATGTTGCATGTGCAATCGCGTAATTGCACATACGACATTTGTGCGAGAACAAACTCCAAAACTGAAGCGCTTTCAAAAGGATTTGGTGTGTTGTCCCAAATTTCCCCTTTCGCAAGGCGGGCACATATTAAACTATTAAAGCGATCTATGGTCCAAATAAAATACTACTAATTTAAAGCTCTACAGAAGTATTTTATAAAGGCCTTCTGTTGTCGGAACTGCCATTCCAATCATAGCTTTTACTTTTTTCCTTGCGAACATTGCAGCTTCTCTTAGCAAAGAACAAAAACAATGTCAGTTATGATAAGCTTGCATCGATGAATAGAGCATGAAAGTAGTCTCTCAAAAATAAGCTACATCTGTTTCGACTGAAGAATTTTAATAGAAAGAAGTTCTTTTGAAAAAAGACCTTGTAAAACAGCCGTTATTTTTGCATACATATATTAGGGTGATCCAAAAGTAATGGGGCACCTTGAATTTTTAAACATTTTTTAAGATCTCTTTCTGATTAGCTATGAACAATTAGCAATTTGAACGCTTTTGTATAAAGTGACCTTCGCAGGTTATCTTGACAGCACCTTGCAACACCTTACCGACATTCCTTCGAGTGGCGCTTCAAAAAAGTCAAACGGACTTTTTTGAACGCCATCCGAATTTGTGCTGCTGCACCTGAAGGACCCTCGACATATGGCATACCATTCAAAAAAGCTTTCCAAGCTCTTTCTAACGATTACTTGAATATTCAAAAATTGCACATTATTTCGTACAAAAGAAGCGCTTTACTCGAAAAAGTGCAGTGTTTGGCGCAGATTTTTAGACTGAAATCCATGTTTTGGCCCACAATTTCTTAAAAATGAGAAAAGTCGAAGTAGTTTGCATATGTGTGGACAGAGGGTAAAAAGCACTATGAGAAAGCAACTGTTAAGGTTAAGCTTATTTGATTACCTTGATGAAAGAATAATTGATATGTCTCCTGATACCCAATGCTATATCTTCTGTTTTAAAGCCTTGAGACCACCGAGCTATCGTGGGTTCGGTGACAGTCCCCTCACCCATTGCTGCGCAGGTATCTCCGATAGATTCACATGTTCTACTACGGCGCTGCTGCTCAAAGTTCAAAATTACTTGAAGTGATGAGCTTTGGTTTTGAGCGCTTATAAAAATAACGCCATGTGACAGTGCCCACCTGTGGACCTCGATTGGAGGGTTTTGCTATGTACTAACATCTGCCAAAACTTGGACTTCCAATTAGCTTTTCTATTTGAGAAAACTGCATTTATTCTCTAGGTGCCCCATTACTTTTGGATCACCCTAATACATTAGGTTGTTCCGAAAGTTCTTTTTGTATTTCAACCCATCATGAAGCACGTCAAATTTGTGCAGTGCATGCTTTTCCACCTCTTTTTGGCGATCATGTTCCTGCGCTGGCTGCTCTTGTGATCACTGAGGTAATCGCCGATTTCAACCCGTGGTTTTTACCGTGTCCAACTTCGATAGCAATTTTTCAATCCTCACTTTGAAAATTTGAAAAACATTGTTAGCTGTCGAATAGCGCAAACAAAGTGCAATGCAAAGCTTTTTTCTGCACCTATAGCTGGCTTTGCAAAATTTTTTCAAACGTCTATCTGCTGCTATCAAATTCCGCTTTTGGTCATCTCAAGGCTCAAGAAAATCAAATGGCGCACATCTGAAGTGCCATTTGATGCAACTTTTTCTCCTCTTTCTGGTATTCGCTTTCCCACAACTCGTGAAATCTTTGCCTAACCTTTCCATAATTCTTGATTTTGAACCGGTCAGGCTGTAGTTGTAAAATGCGAAATGTGATATTTTGAAGCGGTAAAAGCCCATTTTCTTTGTAAACTTAGTGTGTAGCTGTAATTGAATTTTTAGAGTTCATTCAAAAAATCAGGGATTTGTTATTATTTGGATCTTCTGTGCATTTTGCTACTTTGCAAAATTTTGGAAAATTCATTTCTAAAAATCCTGAGTAGCCAGTTAAATAATTCATAAAATTGCACCGCATCAAACTTTGTTTATGCTATTCTGACAGCGGCGTACACTAGATTTCGTTCGGGAGGGGGGGGGAGAAAGCACCTACCCAAAATTTTTGAAAAAGGGGGCGTGGCGGTCACCATACCCCAAAAAATTTTCTACATGGCTATTTTTGATTCTATAAAGTAAGAATTATTTTAATCATTTACAATTGATAACAAGTCGCTTGCACATTTCTATAACGCATGCAAGTAAATTTCGAAAAGTTTGTCACCCATTTTCGAGGGGGGGGGAGCTCGGTACGCCGCCCTATCTCACTATTATCAAATGGTTTGCAAATGTCAAAATGACGACGTTAAAAAATCGTCAAAATTGGACATGGTAAGAACCATGGGTGCGAGATGTTAGCGATTCCTGTTTGTACGTGCAAATAATCAAAATAATCTGCAAAAATTTTCAAAAATTCGTTTAGCCTTGCAAAGGTTTTTTTTTCGAAGGCATGGCTGACGCCACGCACCTTCATTAAAAATTTTGGTTTGTCACTCCTCCCCTTTCCCCCCCCCCTCCGAGCGGAAATCCTGGGTACGCCACTGGTGCATAAAGATATGGGGCGCCCGCTACGCACGTCGCAGTTTGGACCAACCATGGATAACATAACTTACCAGATTATTCAACATCGCAGCCAGTGCACCTATAGTGATAATGTACTTCGCAACATGCGCACCCTTCTCCTCGAAGGCAGCTGCAAATGGAGCGGCAGGGTCTACCTGAAGCGCCAGGGCAATCTTTTCTTATAGCATTCAAAAGTAATAAGACACACGTTATTCCATGGCGTCATTAGCGTTAGAGAAGACGACATGGCCACGTAAAGGAATGTTACTGCAGAGAGTGAGCCAAAAGTAGCAATTGGGATAGTTTTTCTTGGATCTAAATAAATGTCTAATTAGTTGAAGACTTTTAAACTAGATTCTGAAGCTGAACAAACCTAAGAACAGCGAAAACGTAACAGAAAACTCACTTTTCGCTTCCTCTCCTGTGGTTGCAAGAGCTTCAAAACCAATGAAAGAAAAAAAGCATGTAGCGGCTCCAGATAAAGTGCCCGAAAACCCGAACGGGAAGAATCTGAAAAAATAGCTTGCGGGAAACATAGAAATGAATCACTAGCTCACTCACTTAGATCTACCTTGCTTATCATTTCCAACCCAGTAAGAGAGATTCGCATAACTAAATCCATAAATTGTGATGAATAAAATTATCTGAAACAATAGGTATACTGATGCAGCAAAAATCACTTGATTTGAATTTCAGCTTTTCTTTACTCTGCGTGAGCAGCATTTCATTGTCTTCAATCAACAAGATCAAATCGCATAAGCAGCCTTTTACTAAAGAGGGAAGTCAGGTGACTTAGATTGGCCTTGCATATAAAAACATGTATGGTTGGAATCAGCTTCAGAGGCTGATTCCAAATATGCTGTTCCTAGCCGACATATCATTCTGAAGCATATCATGAACTTTTTCCTGCGCGGAATTGGCATATTGGGCAACATGGGAAAGCTGCCTACGAAAATTGGCCTAAAATGTGCTGGGATATTAAATTAATATAAGATTGATTCTTCAGTAGTTGACGGGAAAATTAGCGTAGTAAATCAGCACTTGGATGATGATAAAATTATACAAACTTTGAGTGCCCCTTAGTTAGACTTGGGTTACAAGAACTTGCTAAAGATATATGTAGTAAGCGTCTCAAAGTCACGAGAAGTGCTACAAGGCATTTACTCGAAAAATTTTCTTACTCATCCTTAGGCCTTTGCCAAGAAAGTACAGATTTGTGTAGTGCAACTTTCTTCTTGGTTGCAAGCAGTAATATATCTAAACTGAGAAGAATACAAGATCTCTAAAATGCCTTGACTTAGGTTTGTCTGTGAAATGATCGGAGATTTGGCACTGCTGTCCGTGAATCAGCGTATTAACAGTAATCTCACATTCGTTTATGTTACTTTCACCAAAAAGTCTGCATTTTTAAGCATTGTTGAAATCTAATTGAACTTTTACTCAAGGAACGCTTTTCAAAAACCGAGTCTCCTGCGCAAAGTAAAGGACAATTGTTCAAAGCGAGGATAACATGACACCAGATTTGGTATATAGACGAGTAAGCGCTAAGAGAAACTAAGTTTGATAATAAGAAACAACAAAGTATAAATAGAAACGAGGAATGTGTAATGAAGAGCGTACATACAAATTAGGGTGGCAGTGCATTTCTGAGGGTGGCAAAGCTTTCAAGTTATGCCATTCTTTCATGTAATTTTAATCTATACACAAAATGCTTTGAAGTAAAGTTAGGTCTAAAACTCCTATTAATTTCTGGAAAACAAGCAAAGCCGCAGATTCTTAGGCCTAAGGCATACCCTTAGCGATTCCATGTCACGATTTTCGGTAGCTGCGAGTAGACTGCCTGGGCAAAATTCGCGTAAGAAATTGCTCATCGCTCGATTACCAGACATACCTATGACGACTTCGTGCACCCTTGCGCATCACAAAGAGGTGAACGCGCTTTCAAAAAATATGCGCTTGTTTACCCAGTGCATTTATTACAGGATGCATGCAATGACATGTTTCAGAGTCGATATGCTTTCGAAAAGAACTCTATCAAACGAGTCGTGCATTCTTACAATTAGTATTGCTGTCGTAGATACACACAACACTCGAGTGGGCAGATTTGGTTTTCGACTTTTCGCTTGTTCGTGATTAATGAAATCATGCCGGCAATGGTGAGCGTTGGATTTTAATTGTTCACAAACGCCATATGTTGGGAGCTAAACACTGCTGTAGACAAATGAGTTCTACCAATGTTTTCCTAAGATCGAGTTTGCATGCAATTGACTATTAGGATATGGTGAGCTTATATAAGTGTACACTTTCAATAATTGGTAGGCATATACACTATCCCTTTGCTATGCCATACTTTGATCATTTGAAAATGTGAAAAGCCATACAAATGTTTTAAAGTCCCACTTTTGTTTGGTATTTCGAAAAAAAACAAAAATCATACAAATAAGCCATTGTGCATTTCTCCCATTGCCGGTGCGAAAATAGCTACGGCGACATCGCTTATTTGTAGCAATGATACTAATAAAATTGGCCCGCTATTCGCAGTAGAGTTAATCTAACACAAACGCGGCGCGTCCGCAGTGAAGTGCGCCGAGCGGCAGACTTGAAACGTCCAGCAAGAAAATCGCTTAGCGACTGGAGTCGGATGAGGTTTGCCTTAGGGTTCAAGAAACAAAGCACTTTCATTGGAAGAAACCTGCAGCTAAACAACGAAGAAGTTATAAAACTTGAAAGTTGCGAAGGCGGTTTTTTATGCGTCCATTTGCCACCCTCATGCCGCGGACCTTGGACATTAGTCTTTTAGTTCACACGAGTCATCACATATCTTTTGCCGGTTAGTATTAAGTTGTTCGGAAAAATAATGTCGCATCGCACCCTACCGCAAGAAAGTGATCACGAAAACCAATAAATGGGTTATCATTTGATGGAACAAAGCAGTTCTACAAAATGAAGTACAAACCACCGCGCAAAGTTTGTACCACCTGAACTCGAATGCGAATATAAATTTCGGATACCCGAAAAATTCGTATCTCCGTCAATAATTGCCTTAGGGATCTCCAACTTGCACAAGCATGTACTCTTGACATCGGACACTTACGCGCACGTTTGCGGAATTTTCCCATGTAGAACGCGAGAAATAAATATAGGTCAAAAGTGGGAATATGTCATGTTTTTCGTGTACTTTGCAATCTGATTTTTCTCGGGTACTAAATCTCGGAGTAAGCTAAAATTTTATGTTCATAATTTTAAGGGGATATACTACAAAATAACTCGTTTGGGAGAGGCTCATGATTGCTGTGGCAAAAATATGCCAATTTGCTTCTGGATTTTTAGCCACGGGAAAATCACGAGACTGTGCATACGAGTGTCTGATGTAGTAATTGTGTGCGTCAGCAAGTTGGAGGGTTTCAAGAATTTTCTGGACACATAGATAGAGATACGGGTGTTTTTCCAAATATTTTGAGCGTTTAACGCCTTTTATTAGGTTGTTGCAAAAATAATGTCCGTTTTGGAAATTTTCACTTTGGAGGGCTACAACTTTCTTCAGTTTTCATATTTTTGAATGCAGTCAAGACCATCAAAAACAGCAAACCATTCGTAATTTAGCGCGTGCCTGCTCGTACTGATATCCCAGTTGGGAAGAAAACCACGCGTCAAAAAACTAAAAGTTTTTCTCTCGAAAACCTCTTCTTCAAGAGCTTACAACTCCCTTCAAGTTTTGTTCGTATGGCTGGCAATCAGCTTATTTTGTAGCAGCAGGCCAAGAGTTTATGAGAGTATAGAAAAGACTCCGACGAAAGAGTTCTGCGAAAAGAAAAGACAAAAATTCAAAAAAGTTCACTTTTTCAAGCCTACCTGTTGTCGGCTTGTAAGTGTCAAATTGTAAAAATTTGAAATTCTTCGCGCACTGAATAGTTGAGTTTCTCTTCAAATACTGTAGTTGAGATGTGCTAATCTTAAGCTTACAGAAATGGGCGAAACTTTGGCGATTGCCTTAATTATGAGAAATTTCTGATCCATAGAATGCCAGCAGTGAGTATCTCTTTCGAGGCGTCCATTTCTCAGACCAGATATCTCCAAAAATCCACATAAGCACGCAGTAGGTAAACAATCTTCATCCAATAGAAATGCTATGTTTTCAGAAGAATTCGTTAATTTGCGCCTGAATTGTGGCTACGGAAACTCAAGCATCGAAATTTCGATTTTGAGTGCAGTTATGCGAGATGCTGGTGAAATTCTCACAGATGAGGATAGCAGCCTATTTCCACCATCGTTAGAAAGTACATGAAAAAAGCTTTCCAATGATATGCGCACTCTATATCGAAAAAGAAAGTTTGATGGAAAAAAGTTGTTTGAAATGTAGGCCTAGAAAAACGGACATTATTTTTGCAACAACCTAATAGAATACGGCTACAAACTTTACGAGTTTAAAATTGATGTGCTTGAGCTTCATTTTGTAGAGCTTGCACTGGTCTATCGGTTGGTGCCCTATTTAGTTTTTTTCTTGCTGACTTTGCCGCGATATCGCATGATAAAACACGATGCGACATTATTTTCCTGACGACCTAATATCTTGGCTATGTATGCACCTTCTTATAAAAGAAGCTTCGATGACCGTTTTGGTGAGAGCCAAGAGGCCACGGAGGTGTGCACTTAGGGCCGCATGCACTAACCTCCCCGCGGGGAAGGGATCGCAGCTTAAAAGAAAGCTTTATATTTTGAAACTCCAGATACCTGGATTACACGTTGTGTACCTATCCGTAAGTATTCCTACTACCCTTCACTATGAACATGTTGAAGAGGAGCGAGAAGCTGTACGAACCGCATTTTCCACCTTTTGTATGATCCCTGATAATCCCCGGCGCTTTTTTTAAAGTCATTTTTCTTTCTCCGAAGTTAACGAAAACCTTCCAAAGTTGTACTTAACATCTAACACAACAGTGCTAAGCATGTTGCTGATGAGAACAAATGAGTTTTTGAAAAGTCGAATTTTTCGGTAAACCTCAAATTTCGACCTGTGGATCATCGAAAATTTCATGACTTCAAAACATCATTTGTTCTTATCACAAACGTGCTTAGCACTGTCGGGTTGAATAATCTGCACAACTTTGGAGGTTTTTCGTTAACTTCGGAGAAAGAAAAATGACTTAAAAGAAAAGCGCCGGGGATCATCAGGGATCAAACAAAAGCTGGAGAATGCGGTTTGTACAGCTTCTCGCTCCTGTTCAACATATTCATAGTGAAGGGTAGTAGGAATACTTACGGATAGGTACACAACGTGTAATCCAGGTATCTGGAGTTTCGAAATATAAGGCTTTCTTTTAAGCTTCGATCCCCTCCCCGCGGGGAGGTTAGTGCATGCGGCCCTTAGATAATCAAAGGCTCTCAGCCGGCCCCACCAAAAGCGCCTTTGCCTTATCGCCGCACTTTCGCTTTCCGCTGAGAAACCTTGCTAGAACAGGCAGCGAGCAAGCTGCCATTATACTTTAGACCGACTCGAATGATTATTCGATTATTCGAATAAATCATTCGAATGCAAATGATGAAAATTCGAATATTCGAAATTGTGAGATTTCGAATAATATTCGATAGTCGAATATTCGAAATTCTTCATTTTCGAATACTATTCGATAGTCGAATATTCGAAAATCTCAACTTTCGAATATTATTCGTTATTCGAATATTCGAAAAATTCGAATTTCCCAAAGTATAGCTGCCATAAAGTCTTCAGCGCGAAGCGAAAGTGGCGGAGATGAGGCAAAAAAGAATGTCTGTGTATACAAGCACAACCTAGTTTGTTAGGGTGTAATTTAAAGAAAAACTCACAGAAACGTTTATAAACACGAATATGGTGTTGACCGTAGAAAATGGTTTTGTACCTACTGCTACAACAAACGCAGCTGCTATAATTAGTAGAAATGACACCAAATCCAGATATTGACTAAAGAAACCGTTTCTCTGAAACATGTAATCTTAGCTAATAATCAAGTCGGTGCATGGGTGGAGAATATTTTTATGGTATTGCTAGCCAAAGTAAATAGATTTTTTCAACGAAAGTTTTTCTGCTACCGTGCCAAGCGTGCCAATCGTGTTCATCGTGAAATTGCTGATTGAATGATCAACCAAATTATCCAAGTATCCGGACCATGATCGTGCCAGAGCTAAAGTTGGCTTAGAACTTCAGCAAAAGTCCGATTTTCTCAACCTTTCCCAAATTGGTTCACGAAAACTTCTCACCTGCATTTCCAATCATATATTCAAGAATCAAATTCCAACCAATGATGAAAGCCCAGATCTCGCCAATGCCGACGTACGCATAAGAGTAAGCGCTACCAGCTCGAGGATACCTGTACGGCTTAACAACTATCGTTGTTCAAAATCAGAATAAGCAACTGTTTCTACAAATAGCACGGTATCAGTCACCTTCATAAGTTTTTGCTCGCTTTCAAACCACTTATAGCTTGAAGCCTCACCTCGCTCCAAATTCCGCATAGCTGAACGCGGACATCAAAGCTGCAAACCCTGCGAACGTGTAGGAAATGATGACTGAGGGTCCCGTTTGTGAATGAACGAGTGCACCTGATTTGATTATGACTCAATCAACTGACCTTAAAAGTACGAAAAAAATACGGAATTTACCAACTAAAACGTAGATTCCAGCACCGATCATTTGCCCTATAGCCAAAAACATCACATCGAGAACACTCATACATCGGTGCAGCTTTGAGTCAAGCACAGAAGACGCATCATATGTTCTTTTGCGAAGGATTTGCGACAACAGAGCTTTTGTCCCCATCTGAGATTGGATGTTACCGAGCATAATTGTGAACAAAGATGTAAGAAAAGGAATGCATTGCTTTATTTCCAAGAGTTGCACAAAGGGATCATGCACTTCGGAGATGTCGTTGGCTACTTTTCGTTATCGATCGACATCTATTCTGTAGATTTTTGCAAAGTTTGAGCTGCTGGGAAAGGAGATGGCACACAGGGGTAAGTGAGCATGCTGATTACGAAAATATTATTGACAAAACCGTGGGAGCCGGGTTTGCCAGATAATTTAACATAAAATATTCGAGAAGGGCAATATTTTCGGCTTATTTTTTTCAACCAGCTAAAAAAACTGCAATGTACATATGAATATCTTATGTATGTAATATATGCTTGACGAAGTGAAAAGTTCTCAGAATTATTCCAGATGGTTTCGTATATACTAGGCTGTTGCATAAGTTCTGTCCGATTTTTTTGCCTCATGTTTGAAGCAGCTGTTCTAAGAGAATTTCATCTCTAATTCGATACGGTTGGTATCATTGAAAAGTGCTTTCCTTGCGCTTTCTAAAGCATACCAGAATTCAATAAAATTCTTAGTGTACGGAGATCACAGGCCTAAAATCTCTAAGTGGCCGAGGTACGTTCTATCCCTAGAAATATGTCCTTGCGAGGATATCTCCACAATGCGCCCTTCAAGTCAGGTTCTTTCATTGGCTTCGGAATAAGGGTATGGAATGCTAGTATATGCAGAAGTTCGGTCCCATGAAGAATACGTCTTGCTAGTGAAATTTATCCTCGAACATAAATCTTTGGTATAGATGTTTTACAAGCAATAACTTTCTGCGAATAGAAGTAATCGACAAGGTCAAAGTTGGAGGTGCTAGGGCAAAGCAAGAGCTAACAGGGCCCATCCACCAATTCCTTTTCGGCGCTCACGTCAGTTGTAAAACGTTCGTAGTTCATAAATAGGCATGCACACATGTGCTGAAGCGAGGTCAAAAAGTGGCTAATTTTTTGTTCGGTCAAGAAAATCTCTCGGCAGCGCAAACCCTATGGGCTCTTTTATGTTGCATAATAATCTACGAAAATTTCTCTATCCATCCATTATTAGAAAAGATGCCTATCAATTTTCATAAGGGAGCGTTACCATGTCAAAAAAGACAGATTCGAAGAAAAACGCTGCGAAGTTTTTGCATTCTTGGTTCTTCCTTAACAAAGATTTGCGCAGATCTCAATATGCATTTTCTAGCCAAGGGACTGCTCAACACATAGAAACTAAGACCTTGGAAAAAAGTTGACTCTGAAAGAAGTTATGACATTTTAAACTCAAAAATTCAAATCGGACAGAACTTATGCAACAGCCTAGTATATATATATATCGTATCATATCCTCAAGCACATCATTCCTCAACAGTTTCATTTTTTCCTCACCTTCATGCAGATCAAACCTTTCCGATTGTTCAAACACTATCTTGTAGAGCTTGCTTTGCTCTATCAAATTTATTTTGATATTTTTTAGGTTTTCTCTGCCTCTTCAGGATAAGAAACATGCATTGCATCTACTTAATAAAAGAGAACTTTGGCTGCGTTTATACTGACCCAAAAGTTCGGGAAACTTCCAGCACAGCGCTCGAAGTAAGCATTGTGCTGGAACACTTCCCGAACATCCAGGTCAGTATGAACGCAGCCTTTTGTAAGAGCAAGATAGAAGCAAGACACAGCTGTTAACTCGAATCAATATTTTGGAATTCGATAAATTTACCATGGGGCCGCTACTAGTATAAATGCTTTGACATATTTATTTTTTAGCCACCACAAAGTTTCGAAATTTGGAAATTGTAACAGGTGTGCATTCACCAGTTCATAATATTTTCGCTGAAATTATTGAAATTTTTGGAGCGTAAGTGTGAAGAGTTTGACACGATATGCTGCAGTTCGCACACTTCAACAATATGAGGTTGTTTAGAAAATTTTCCAATCTTTAACAATGATCTGACAAGGGAATGGTCAAAAGTCGAAGTGCCAATTCAAGCAAGCTGCCTACCATTCGATGCAGCATTCAACGCTGAATTCGAATCTGTATCTAACTGGTTAGCGCCTTTGTGGACAAGTCATGAGCAGTTTTACTGCAAAAAATTGTACACAAACATTGCGGAATTGAACACATTGTTGTTCAGCTCATTTTTAGGCTTTAACAATTTGAAGTAACCTAGCTGCATGTTTTGGCCCAGCATTAAGGCAAACATGGCTCTGTACTGCCAAATTTGCGCTTTGCATGTACGATTTCTCAACAAAATAACATCTTCAACGGCTCATAACTTCGTCCACAAATGCGCTAAGAGATATGAAATACAGATTCGGAGTCAGCGTTTTATGCTGTATCTGATGTTATGCAGCTTGATCGACTTGGCCACTTCGTTTTCTGACCATTTCCGTGAGATGTGTTATAAACGAACCATGTTTCTAACTATCAAATAATGAACAGCTTAAAACACTTGCGTATCCTGTAGATCCTGTAGTAACATTGATTTAAGGAAGGGAGGTTACAATTAACATGAAAAACCAGCAATAATTCCAGGGATTCCGTGGAGGTACTGTTTGCAACACCCTTCAACTCGTTAAAGATAGCAACATTCGACTACTCAGACAATCACAGGCTCTCAGCCGGCAGCCACAAAGCCACCGCGAAAACCCACCAAAAGCGCAGTGGCCTCATCGCCTCACTGTCGCTTCCCGCTGAGAACTGGCAGCGAGCGGGCTGCTATAAAGCCTTCAGCGCGAAGCGAAGAGCTTTCAGCGCGAAGCGAAAGCGGCGGTTTCGCTTCGCGCTAAAGGCTTTATAGCAGTCCGCTCGCTGCCAATTCTCAGCGGGAAGCGACAGTGAGGCGATGAGGCCACCGCACTTTTGGTGGGTTTTCGCGGTGGCTTTGTGGCCGCCGGCTGAGAGCCTGTGATTGTCTGAGTAGTATTTGTTCCGGTGGCTGAGGTTTTCTCAAGCAAAAAGTACTTTGACTGCAGCTTTCAGTTAAGGCTTTCATATATTCGTAACGCATAAAAGGGTCTCTGGGAGAGCAGCATTTCTAGTATACCAAATCAGTAATTCAATACACATGACCAAATTTCGTTTATGTAAGATATGTAGTACAAACTTTCCCATCAAAACGATTTGCAAGAATATTATATCAAAAGTTATAAACAGTAGGCAAAAGTGATGATCATCGTGTGAGTGATTACAACATACAAAATGCTCTAGTCTCTCCTTATATAGCATAACCTTGTTGTTGATATAAGATTCCATAGCGTGTTATGACATCACTTATGAGGAACGCTTGTAGTCGTACAAACTTATTCATCAAACTCGGCACTCCGTTTTTGTAAAAGGCACACAATGATTGACGAAGTTTGCCTGCCTTTGTGCTACAGTTTCTCAGCCATGTACAATTAAGATTAAGCAATTTGAAGTGAAATACGGAGACAGACATTGTAAGTAACAAGCTGTTGTTCTTCCTGTGACGTGAGATAATGAATTTTCTGCGGTAGCAGTATGGCACATGAAATACTATTCATTCATTCTTTCTTCATCTACTTCGTCAGATTCTAAACTTATGTATCCATGATGTTCTTTTTGAATAAAAGCGGATAAAAGGAGAGGACGTTCAAAATCGATAAGTATGGTTCGCCCTGGGATTATGCTGTCTGAATAAACACGACCAAACATCACTTAACTGGATCTGCAAAGGTCAGAAGTATTATATAGAGCGAACGTCTAAAGACAGCAAAATCAAAATCGATCAATCAAGAGTGTGCCGATTCAGATGAACAGCCACATTTACAGAATCATTTCACCATTCATTCAGCTACACATTCTTTTGCAATGTGGCAGCCTCTATTGTCAAATCAGCTATTACGGTATCTCCAACCTTCATAGAAAACAAATCTTTCCAACCTGTCTTAGAACAAACACCATGGCTTTTTTAGCTTTTGTTTTTGATCGAAATGTTATTTGCTCACAAGAATGAAAATTTTTTCTATCTCTGACATTCGTCAACTGTTCGCTCATCATTACACATCAAAGCTGCCAGTCAAAAGTATTTATGAATAGATTCGGAAAAGTTCGATAGAATCAAACATCGCCGTTTGACGATGAAATAGCAGTGCTTATTTCTACGCCACGGTTCCTTCTTCAAAATGTAAAGAGGTTGCTTTGTAAACTTGCTTGTATCAGGCTGATGCGTTTGCTCCATTTATCTCAAGTTATTAGTTTGCTTGTTTAACTTTGCCACGAATCTGCGAACACTCCTTACAAAAAAAAGTTGAAAATCAAATGGCCAGTCACCACATCATGCATATCATTACAAAAAGCTTACGCTAATTTCAAATCTGCTTTTCACATCTGCAGTAAAACGCTTTTCAGGAAAAAGTTATTTGCATTTTTATCATCAAAATCTGCATGGTCTTGAGTGTCTACAAATAATGAAAATCGTTTGGATTGCTTGTTGCATTACAGGGTAACATTTGAAAAAAGCCAGCATTACATCATGGATAAGCTAATTTAAGTATTTTGGGTATGCTTAGATGTTTACGCCCTTCCCAGAAGCGTTTCACAGATATTGAAGGCATTTTTGATAGGCGCTCAAGCTCTTCGTAATGATAGGCAACTCTTAGTGATCAGCCACTTCGACCCCCATTATCATAAACGTCTTTTCCTTCCTTCTTGCTAAGAAGAGCGCAGAGATAGAAGTGGATGATACAGAATTCAAGCTTTGACTGTTTTAAGTAGAGGCATCAGATATCTGCGTTATAAAATCGAGACTATAGACAAAAGTTTTCTATGTTCCCTACAACTGAGTAAAACTTACGATTACTAAATTTTTTTTGCAAAGCTCTATGGTGCCCTAGAGATTGCTTCAAAGATGTTTTTCTTTAATTTTTATTGTTTTTTACTATTTGCCACTATGCATGAGATGCTCGATTATCTCATATTTTCCCACTTATAAAAGCAATATAGCTTGTGAAATGATATAAATT